GCTGCCTCGACGAGCTGGACCAGCAGCGCGTCGTTGTCGCTGACCTCAATGCCCGCCTCGAACAGATGCGCGCTTCTCGCGACCGCATGCGCCAAGCTCAAGCCACCGAGCGGGCTCAAGCCGCGTATGTTGTCCGTCCATGTATTCACTTCACAACCTTGCTCTCCCACACCAAACACCCACGGCCAGGCCGTCCCACGCCTGCATTTCCTCTGATTTTTTGCCGTCTCGGCCATTCTGCGCAGGGCCAAGCTGGCACTCCTCAAGGAGAGCATCGGTGCCGATCCAATCGGCTCGCAACGGGACCAACCGCGCAATGCTGGTAATTCATGCCCCTACTCGTCAACTATCTGCCAGCTCTTGACCCAAACCGTGCCGCATCTTCTTGCTCCTCACTAGCCTGCTGCTCCTCTTCATCCGATGCCCCTCAAGGCGGCGTGCCACCCCAAGTGGCCGTCATTGACGCCGTCGGAACATATCGCCATTACAAGGCCAAAGCCGAATGGGCACCCCATGAAAAGTGCAACGCCTACTGGGACTGCATGCAAGCCGGTGCACCATCGTCACTCCAGCAATCTGCCTAGGCTTCTCCGTTGTACCTGCCCCACCATTGCCCCCTTCGCTTCCGCCCCACCGCCGCGCGGTGCCCATCCCTTGCGTTCTCTGGCTCGTTGCTAGGTGCTCTTTTCTTTTTTTTTTTTCCTCTTCTTCAACTGCATGTTTTTGCTTTGTGTGCCCGACTCCTGTCCGCGCTCCCCCTATCTGTCTCGCGGTGTACCCAGCGTGTCGATGCGAGTTGTGTCCTGCCCTCGATCTCAAGCCTGTTGGTCGGCGGTCTGCCATTTTTGCGTGTTATTCTGTTTTGTCCTCTCCTCAGTCGCTTGCCTCTAGCTCTTGTCCTTGCTCGCGAGCGGCGCCCGTCCCAAGAAACGATCAAAAGTATCATCATTAGCTGGCTAAATTGTTGTTCAACTATTCTTCTGTGTTGTACGCGGGTTCGCCCCGCTTGAGGCCGGTCTCACTCTTCGTCACTCGTCGTGAAGAAAAAGGGGGCGCAGGCCAAGGGACTGTTGGCGCGCGGGGTAGCCAAATCTTCAATCCACATGTAGTTGTTGTCCATCGTCACGTTGGCGTTGTCGTGGTACAGATACCACAGGGTGTAGGCTGTCTGCAGATTGCGGTGGTCCACGTCCGCCAGGTACCAGTCCAGCCCATGCATGACGCAGCTGGACAGAAAGGCAGCACGCGGTGCTTGGTTGGGCGTCGTTAAAGCCGTGGTGAATTGCTGCATAAACTCCTTTCCATATGCTTGAATCATTTGCGTCTCGCTTGCGTTGCAGGTTGGGGTGACCGCGTTCCACGGTGGCGTATAGGCCTGTTGCGTGACGCAGGGCACACCATCCTCTTGCCACAATTGCCAGTGATCAAACTTGCTCTGCTCCAAAAATGCGGGGCGTTGCACGTGGGGCAGAGCACTGGGGCTCATGGCACAAGCGTACGCAGACTCTTCGCCATAGGCAGCCAAGCACGAGGCGTCCAGACCCGGGGTCGAGTTGTGAAACTGGACCATCTCCTTAATGAGATCCGTGTAGTTGCAGTTCTGACCAATCTCCTGCTGACAGGCCACGCTGTGGTTCAAGAAAAAGCCTACGGTGTTTCAGCCAACGTCCAGTGAGCCTCTCTCAACCCAATCCAAACGCAGTCTGCAAGGCAACAAGAGGACACAACACACGAAACGGCGCACGAGACACAGCAGGGAAAACTTGGGCAGACATTTAATTGCAAGGCTCGTGGGTACATGACACACACCGGCGTTTGGCAAAGCCACAGCCTTTTTTGCTCCAAGGGTGTCGGCAATGTAGTCGGTGTGAATCACCGTGCTCAGCCCGCCTGCTGAGCCCCCCGTGACCATAAGCTCGGCCACGCTGGCTCCCTGAAGGAAATGTTCCTGCACATAAGCCACGGTTGCCTCGAGATTGGCACGCCCGCGCACATAGATGGTGGCATTGGCAGGCGAAGGGTCATGGTATGGGTACAGCGGTGGCAGATTTCCAACGGGCGTGGGGCCGGGACGAAAGCCGGTGAAGCTGGCTCCATCGCAGTCTATAGCATGGGCATTGCAGGACATGCGGTGCATCGAGATGCAAGGGCGTGAGCTCCACAGGCACGTGGTTGATGCAAAGAGAACAAACATCTGAGCGAGGAAGCCACGCACAGGGCATAAAGATGTAGGAAAAGTCAAAAAAGTGCGGCCCAAAGACATTCAGGTCAAAGGTGGGCGTGGAAAACGTGCTCGAGCCCAAGAAGGTGGAGGAACGTTGGTAGCTATCGTACGGTGACATGGACCAGCCTCCGCCCTGAATATTGAAGATCCACTTGGTCGGGTCACCCTGTCGATAGTAGAAGACGTACGGGCTCCCATCTAGACAAGCGGGTCCGTTGGGCTCGGCCAGCGGCAAGTAGTGACGGTTTGTTGTAGTGTTGATGATGGCGGTGGGGTTGCGATTGAGGCGGTAATTGTTGAGCTGCATCTGCGTCAAGATCAAGTGCGTTCCGTTTTGGTGGCTACTGACGCCCGGGTGTAAGCACCAGTTGGGCTGGTCATTGTGGGAAGGGCACTCAAACGCCCAAATGGTTGAGATGGCAATCTAGCAAGCGGGAGGAGAGATTAGTGAGTGAGGAGTTGACCAATAGCTGTGATCAGCGGTGGTGGCCAACAATGTCCTTGTGACCCGTGTTTTTCTTGTTTTATCATGTGAGCCCCCTCCGGCAAGCGCACGGGAAGCATAAAAAAAAAAAAAAAAAAAAAAAAAAGAATGCACAGGAAGGCGGGAGGGCAAAATGCGGGGAGGAAAAGACGAGAAAGAGAACGGGCCTCGAAGGGAGAGACGTGTAATGTAGAGCGGTGGAACACGGGAGAGGGGTGAATGCCACAAAAGAAAGCGACACTCTGGGCACTGACCGAAGAGTACATGATTTCAGCCATGGCAGCTTCGGCATACTCAAAGCCTTGGGACTGGGTGCTGTTGTAACCATCGGTGGCTTCGGGGCTGTTGGTGGCACCATACTCGCCGGCGTAGGTCACCTTGTGAAGGCTGGCGGCGGTCTGGGCAGCCAAGATGAAGACAGTCACGTCGCCGCGGCTGACAGGTTCGGGCGCGGACAGGTTACACCAGGCATATGGGCTGTTTCCTGAGCGACAACCGTAGTAGTGAAAGGTGACAAAGTCGAAGCCATCGCTGTAGGTCTCAAGCATGAGGCCCGTCTCTTCCAGGCTATCCAGGGCCGGGGCAGTGCCGGACAGGCAGCCCTGGGGCAGTAGGCTAGCGTGGTAGGCGTGGGAGCGCGGGGCGGCAAAGCCCGTGTTGATGCTGCGCGAGTCGTCCACGGACAACAGGGCATCGCGATAGGCACGGGCAAAGGTCATGCCCTCGCTGGTGTTGAAGAAGCAGCTCTCGTCGGCACAGTAGCCACAGCCATCCATGTCCAGGTTGAGCTCGTTGCCCAGCTCCCAGAAAGCAATGGCGGGGCTGGCACGGAAGCGCGTGACAAAGTCCTTGCCGTATTGGAAGATGGAGCGCTGGCTCTGGGAGCTGCTGTCGGTGATGAAGGCCCTGTAGGTTTCGTTGTAGAGGGTGGCCGGGTTGCAGGGTTTGGAAGCATCGGCACAGCCATAGCCAAGGGAAGGAACAAGGTGCAGGTGCAGGGCTTCTGCTTCGGCGATGATGGGGGTAATGGCATCAAAGTGTGCAGCACGCTCGGCCTCGGTCATGCGCAGCCAAGGGATCTGGACAAAAGGAGCGGCAAAGGCTCGGATTAGGGTCATGTTGTAGGCCTTGGCGTCTTGTAGGGCCATGAGGGACGTGGTCAAGTTGCCTTGGGCCGGATTTGTGTTCCAGGCGGACCAAAAGAGGTCATAAATGTTGGCACCCATGTTCTTGAACGGTTGCTCTCCGACCCCGCATGCGGTGCCATTGGCACCTGGGCGCACCTTCATGGCCCCCGTCTCGGCGTTCCAGCACAAGTCTGCAGTCATTTCAACCGTTGCCCGTTGCCGCGCCTCCACCCCCAAACCCACCAGCGCCAACAGAGCCAGCCACGGAACCAGCGCCCGAGCCATGGCCAGCCGTGCGCTGCCCAAGCGCGGCGCGCGTGTTTGATGCATCGTGTCACTGGTCGTATGTCCTCGTTCCCCACACGGCTTGTGGTGCAAAAACTCCACAGCCACGCCGCAAGCATCAACCTATTTATCTTATACATAAACTTGCATATATTTTGTATTGCGTTCTGCAATAACTACTGATATTGGGCCATAAACTATTCGAGAAAACATGCTGACATGTGATACATCAACACAGTCCAAGTCTTTCAGTCTCTGTAGAGACTGAACCTCTTGCGCAAGCAGTCCCAGTCAAAATGTCAGCAATACTATTTGGTAATGAACGAGAGAGAGAGAGAGAGAGAGAGAGAGAGAGAGAGAGAGAGAGAGACCATGTGACCCTGTAACACCTTTTGTTTCCTTGCAGAGGTACGAACACGTCTCTCTCAATCAGTGTGTGTGTGTGTGAGCGTGTGTGTGAAAGGGCAGCCGCTATATCTTCCCATCTCCGAGATATGTGTGTGTGTGTATCGAGCGTTGGCTTGTGTGTGTGTGTGTGTGTGTGTGTGCCGGGGGTCAGTGCGTTCACTGGGCGTCCATCTCCTGTTCGGTGTCTTGTGTTGTTGGGCTGTGTGTGTGAGCGTGTGCGTGTCTGTTGTTGGTGGTGTCAAGCGCGATGGCTCAAAGGGCAGCGTTGAGATGATAGCTAGCTCGGCAACGGGAGATGGGGTGACGCGGGCTTGCTTGAGGCGGTTGCTTTGACACTGCTGCGCTGCGGCCGGCTCACGTCTCAGGTCCCATCTCAGCTCTTGCACTGCTCTCCCACGACATCACCTGTTGTGTAATTTTTTTTTTTCGGCCACTGCCTGCTGTCATGTCGTTTCTTCGAACTTGCGGCTCTTGCCTCGCGGCCCCCACTGATCTCCCCTCGTCCCTCCCGCCGCCTGTCCTTGACTGCACTGAGTTATCTCTCCCCTTTTTTTTCGGGGTCTCTTCTGTCTCGCTTCTGGCCCGTTGTGCATTGACAGCAGCGCACTCATTTTTTTTTCTCCTGCATGGCTTTTGATGATTGGCCAATATCACGCGCTCGCCAACTCGTAGTAGCCGCTGCCATCTTGTCACGTCTACTTGCCGATTCATAATTTTTTTTTGGACTTGCTGACACGACATTGTCCCCTTTTTTTTTTTGACTTTCTCATTCTTTACCCACCGCCATGGCCGATTACGGCACAGAGGTAGGCGCTGCCATCATGCAGGGCAAATGTTCGAGGCCATCCTTGATCATCACGGTCGTCTTGACTCGCATCTTGCCTGGGCTGCCCATTCTCCTCCCTCCTCTACTTGCGTGATACTAGGGCAACGCTCTGCTTGCGCAGGCGCAAAAACAGGGTGAGGTCGTCCGCGATCTCAAGTCCAGCAAAGCCCCAGAAGACCAGGTCAAGGTGTGTGTTCAGCTCTTGGGCATGCTGACATATCTCTGGATTTGGGCCCGTGCGTGGTCTCTCGTCTGATGCCTGTGGTCTCATTCCGTTCCACGGTTAATCTTAGGCTGCCGTCGCTGAGCTCCTCAATCTCAAAAACAAGTTCAAGGAGGTGACCGGCAAGGATTATCCTGCACCCGCAAAGCAGGAGAAGAAGAAGAAGGCTGCGCCGGCAGCGGCGACACCTGCTGGCCCCGTCGATCCGTGCGTTTGCCCGAAAGAGTTTTCACTCGCATTTTATCTACTCCTGTTGAGCCCGGCATTGACCACTGGTTGCTGACCCTGACGTTGACCCCGTGGTCGACCCCATTTCTCACGCGGCCTGGTGACGCGACTACAGCGAGAAGGAAGCTCGCAAGGCCGCAAAAAAGGCTGCCAAGGATGCCAAGAAGGCCGCCAAGGGTGATAAGGCTGCTCGTATTGCTGCTCGCAACGAGGCGGCCGTGAAGAAGCAGGTCGGTACTATTCTCGCTACCAACAAGAACCGCGCCTTGTCTTTGCATATCCCATGACCCATGACAAGTATAATATGTCTGGATGTTGACTTACACACCTAACTCACGTTGTGCTAGGCGGCCGACTTGGCTGATGATCAGTCCCAGGACTTGTACGGCAACCTTGCCCTTATCCAATCCACGGAACGCTCTGGTGCGTCGTCTGATTTGCTCGGGTGCCCATGTTTTGTGTTTAGATCCAGTCAAGGCTTGGCTTTTGTCGCCTGCAGCGCTCGAGATCTTCCGTTTCTGACCCAGCTTTTCCCGGCCTCGTCGTTTTTTTTTCAAATAGACACCGTTTACACTCAAATCCAGAACCTGGTGCCTGCGCTGGCCAACAATGAAGTGACTCTCCGTGCACGTGTCCACTCCAAGCGTGTCACTGGTAAGCTCTTTGCCGACACTCTGTGCATTAGCCCTGGCAGCTAGCCTTGGTGGTTTCGCTTCGAGCGTCGAGTTGATGTCAGCAATGATGTGTTGATACTACGCGTTTGACCCCCTCACCACCCTCGCTCAATCGCTAGGTCGTTTGGCTTTTGTGACGCTGCGCCAGCGCACGCACACCGTGCAGGTGGTCTTTGAGGAAAACGCCACCATCTCCAAGGCCATGATCAAGTTCATCGAAAAGTCAGTGCTGTCCATTCCACAGGTCCTTCCTTTTTTTTTTTTTTTTTTTTTTTTAACCCCCTTTGGGTATGCGGGACCTGACGTTCTTCTCATCGAGTGTAGGCTGAACCCCGAATCCATTGTCAACATTGTGGGCACCGTCACTGAGCCTGCCACTCCCGTCGAGAGCTGCACCCAGCGCGACGTCGAGATCAAGGGCAAGGCGGTGAGTCTCGCTCATTCAGACCTGATGCACGGGCCGCATGTCATGCTCACCTGATCTTTCTGCACTGCTCTACCTACCATACCACAGTGTTTCGTGGTGACGTCGGCTTTGCCGTCGCTGCCCCTGCAGATCGAGGATGCTGCGCGTGGTGAGAACGATCCCATGGCCGTGGGCCAGGATGTTCGTCTGGATAACCGCATCCTTGACCTCCGCGCCGAGCCGAACCAGGCCATTTTTAAGCTCCAGGTGCGTGGTACACTCGACGTTGACACCCTCTGAGCTGGGCAGATGGCCAAAAAGTTTTTGCTCCACGCATCTCGTGCTCAAGCTGATGTTGATGCCTTGCTGTTGCTGGTCCATCTTGCAGTCGGGTGTGGGCGCTCTCTTCCGCAACTTCCTCCTCGGCGAGGGCTTCACTGAAATTCACTCGCCCAAGATCATTGGTGCGGCGTCCGAAAGCGGCTCCACGTAAGTGTGGGCTTTGGTCGTGGATCCCTGGTGCCTTCACCATCGTTGAGCCTCGGCTGCGACATCTCACAAATGGCGCGCATGGCTTTGCGTAGGGTGTTCAAGCTGGAGTACTTTGGCTCGCCTGCCTTTTTGGCGCAGTCACCCCAGCTATACAAGCAGATGGCCATCGCCGCCGATTTCGAGCGCGTCTTTGAGATTGGTCCCGTGTTCCGCGCAGAAGATTCCAACACGCATCGTCATTTGACCGAGTTTACGGGCATGGACTTTGAGATGGCCTTTTACGAGCACTACCATGAGGTCCTTGACGTTGTCGACCGTCTCTTTGTGTCCATCTTCAAGGGCCTGACCGAGAAGTTTGGCCACGAAATCGCCATGGTCAACAAGCAATTCAACCGCGAGCCCTTCAAATGGCTCGAGCCCACGTACGCCTGTGGACGAGTTTTTTTTGTTTTTTTTTAATCTTGCCTTTTCCCCCACGTCTTCCGCCCCCCCCCCTCCTCCACGGGTACCAGGCTCTCACTTTGACAATGCCCGCGAGACCCTGCTCACTGATCCTGTGTTTTGATATAGGCTGCGCCTGGAGTGGCCCGAGGGTATTGCCATGCTGCGTGAGGCTGGCGAGGTCATTGGTGATTTTGATGACATCAGCACACCTCAAGAGAAGCTTCTCGGCCGTCTCGTGAAGGAAAAGGTGTGATTCAACCGTTTTCACCAGAGTTAACCGCCTGGTTGCTTGTTGTTGATACCTACACTCACCCCGCTCTGCTTTTCCTGCGGCTTTTAGTATGACACCGATTTCTACATCCTGGACAAGTTCCCCCTGAACATCCGCCCCTTTTACACCATGCCCGATGCCAAGAACCCGGTATGTCAAGAATTTACTGTTGCTTGCCTGCGCTAGGACTGCAACGTGGCTTGAGGGTGCTTAATCTTGGATGGAAGCATTGCCGATGTTCTTGCTTGAATACACCGTATCTGACCCACATTCGTCGCATCTGGCTCGGTTGTTCTCCGTGCACTCAGGCGTACAGCAATTCCTATGATTTGATGATGCGTGGTGAGGAGATCATGTCGGGTGCACAGCGCATCCACGACCCAGCGTTGCTGGAGGAGCGTGCCACTGCGCACGGCCTGTCTCTGGACGAGATCAAGGCGTACATTGACGCCTTTCGATATGGCTGCCCACCCCATGCCGGCGGTGGTGTGGGCATGGAGCGTGTTGTGATGCTCTTTTTGGGGCTGCCCAACATCCGCAAGACCTCACTCTTCCCCCGCGACCCCAAGCGTATGGAGCCCTAAACATGACGTGTTTTGTTTGTTGATCTGCGTGATTTCGTCGTGTCACTTTGGCTTTTCTGTTCGCAATCGCACACAATCGCCCTTCTCCTCTTCTTTTGGCATAATTCTTGAGCTTTGCGGTAAGGGCAAGTGGAAAACTCTCAAGGGTGGTAGCATTGCAATTGTGTACGTGATAACAAGCAAGGAAAAGGAACAAATCAGACACGAGCCAGCCCTCGAGCATATATGCACACTGCTCCAGCCCGATGCGAGATTACGCACATGACTCGTGTCTTAGGTGGCTACCATCTTCAAGCGGGCAAAGGCAACACAGATTAACAAAGTTTGTCCTCAGGGACACGCGCAAAAGCGAGCATCGTGCCTGTGATTATTTGGCACGCTTTTCGGCCTCATCCTGCGCCCGAGCCATGAGCTCTTCCACGACGACTTTGACGCGGGGGACCTGAGCAGTGGAGCAGCGTCACTGAATGAGGCACAGGTTGAAGCTTTTGTTGTGGCAAATGGGAGTAGCGTAAGCGTCCACTCACATCACAGTTTTGAGCCAGGTACACGCCACCATAACCACCGACTACCAGGCCCGCCTAGGTTGAATGCCGAGCAAACGCGTGTGAATCTGGCGCGCTGGAATTGCAAACGGAGACAAAGAGGACAGGGCAAGACAACGAGCTCGAAGCGGCAATGACAAGCTTCATGGCACGGCCCAGTCCAAGCTTTTGAAAACCAAACAACATGCCCCGCGCTAGGTTCTCATGATGCACCCCACAAGGTTGGGCGCCAGCAGCCAACGCACCATGAGCGTCAGGAAGTTTGTCGACAGCGTCATGGCTCCAGATCACAATTTGTCGCGCCCGACAGCAATGAGGTGCAATGCGAGTCCCACTCGACTTGACACGCCCGAGCTCCTTGAACCTGGTTCAACACGTGCGCCTGCAGCCGTGCGTTGACGCCAACAGTCTGGTCGACAGTGCTGTTCGTCGGTCTCCCAGCTAAACGTGAGCTCAAGAGCTCAAGAGGTCCTTTCCGCTTTCAGCTGATGCCAATTCGAAAAAAATATGAAAAAGAGAGAGAGAGAGAGAGAGAGAGAGATTTAGAGAGAGAGATTTAGAGAGAGAGAGAGAGAGAGAGAGAGAGAGAGAGAGAGAGAGAGACAGAGAGAGAGAGAGAAATGTGTTGCACACGTTAAAAAAAGTCTGACGAATGCTTTTGGAAAAAAAACGAAAAAAAAAATTGATCTGATGAATTAAAAAGAGCTGGTGTCTGTCGGGCGATACTGATTCTAGTCCGATGCCCATTGGGGTTAGGGCGTGTGCTAGAAGACAAACAGAAATGTATCGCGCAAAGCGCGCTGGACTCAACAAGGGATGATTAGGGTGAGTGACGGCAGCAGCCACGGTCGGCACAGGTTTCGGCTAGCTCTGCTCGCTCAGGGCAGGGGAGCAGACTTGAGGAAAGCTGTAGATGGCCGCACAGTTGATGCGGTGCTGCGCATTGTGGACGGCTGATTCTGCAGCTAATGGCTCGAGTCTTGGAGTTTTGGCATCGGGCGATGCGGTTTGTACAGATGGATGGTCGGGCCCGGCGTCATCTTCCATGGGGAGCGCAAAAGAGCGTTGGCCCGTGGCCACGGCCACGAGCGGGGCCCACGGGTGTACCGACACACCATTAATGGCCGTGTCACTCAAGTGTCGAGTCACCGAGGGTGCAGGTGGGGCCTCAGCGGGTTCATTCAGGTTTGTTGGGGTGCCAAGAGCCTGGTCGACTCGGCGACGAGCAGTGTGCAGGTCCCAAGTGTAAAGACACCCGTCCTGGCCCCCGGAAACGCCGATGCGTCCTTGGTCAGCTAGAGCGAGCTGAAGCTTTTGATTGCTGGCAAGTGTGCGTTGAAGGCGCTGCACAGGCTGCCCTGGTTGTCGGAGGTCAAAGTGGAGCACATCAGGGCAGGCCCGAAGACCAACTAGGACGGTGAGGTCGTCTGCTGCGACTCGCAGGTCGGTGACGCCGCGAGACAGGCGCCAGTCGTGCGCAGTATCGGCGGTGCGCAAGTCCATAATGCTGGCCCCTCCACCATAGGCGCCCAAGGCCACACGATGAGGGTCTTCGGTGAACGGAGCAATGGCAGAGATGATGCCGCGGCAACCAGCGCGGCGACGATACGTCTTTCGCTTGCCGTAGGCGCGCCCAGGCACGGCAACGTCAAAGACGTGCACCAGAGTGTCCAAACCACAGACCAAACGATGTCCATCGGCGGTCAAGCCCAGGCTATGGCAACCGGTGATGGCATCGTACTGGTCATAGTTGCGGTAGCTGGCCACGAGGCTGCCATCAAAGGCATCCCAGCTATGCACGGTCGTATCCCGACAGGCCGTGAAGAGAAGACAGGTCTCGGGAAAATCCGATTGCAGGAGCGGGTACCAGGCAAAATCATAGATGAGCTCGGCCTCATGTACGCTAAACACGGGCGCGGCGGGCCCAGGCTGTGTGCCCTCAGGCGACCGAATAGGCTCTTCTCCTGACCCTTGCAAAAGATCCTCAGGCACATTAAAGACGTGTACGGCAGCATCAGCCGTGTTCACAGCCAGGCAGGAACCGTCTGGCGCAAAGGCACAGCCACGTGCATAATTCCCTCCCGCCTCGCTACGGTGCCGACGCCAGTAGGACTCACGGGCCAAGCCATCCAAGCCCGCACTCTGCCACACCGGCGGCACCTCGACTGCCGAATCCGTCATCACGAACGCAGCTCCATCGTCCACCCTTAATTGTCAGATTGTCAGACAATAACAGAGCCTTTGTCAGAACCATTTGTCAGATAGAGTAAGCGTTACTGCAATATTTTCTGCTTCCACACCTGAGCAGCATGGCGGCCACACGGCAGCAGACAACTACAAAGTTGAATTACACGTATAGCGTCACACACACGAGGCGAGGTAACCACACTCAAGTTACATGCAAAGGTGTGCGTATGCGTGAGAGGGAGCAGCGCGGTTGCGCAAGCGTACTGATTGAAGAAAGCCCAGGCTTGGAAAGGGCAGCGCCGCCGGGGCAGCGCCTGGCTGTTGGCAGCAGCAGCAACAGCAATTGATAACAAAGTCAAGTCCAGGCAGTATAATACCTTGTTGTTTTTTTTTTAGAAGGATATAGCCCTGACAGCAACAACAACAACAACAACAGCCGTCCCAACCCCACCAACAGGCACAAGAGTAAAAGTAAACATGTGCTTGGCATTTTCTTTCTTCTTCTTCTTCTTCTTCTTCTTCTTCTTCTTCTTCTTCTTCTTCTTCTTCTTCTTCTTCAGGTAAGACAGTGTTGAAGACAAATGGCAGCGCCAACCTCGTTTGTACCACTGGATACGCCTTGATACCATGACCGCGCGGTCATGGTTGGACCTCGTGTGGACCTGGCGCGCACTCTTTTTCTGATGGCACCGCGTTTTTCAATGCATTTTTGGTGCTGTGTTTGAGCCGTCTTCTCTCTCTCTTCTCTCTCTGTCTTGCTTCCGGCGGCTGGCGGACCGTCGCTCCTTGTGCAGACTGACCCCCTCTGTCCCGCCCCTGCTATTGCTGCGTATGTCCGGTCTGTCAATTTCCTTTGGACCAGGTATCGCCTGAAGACCTTGCAAGCTTGGACTGCTTTCCATCTGGTACGTCTGCGATGCTTGTTACGTAACCGAGCAGTGGCTCCGCCACGCCGAATCGCACTCTGGACAAGTTTGCCTGCCAGATTGCTGACCCTTTTATATTCGCCCTGCTCTTGGCTCAAACTCATGTTTTTTGCCTCGGCTCCTCTCTTTTTTGCCTCGGTCCCTCTCTATACTCTATGACTGGTGCCCCTCAGCTTTTTTTTTTTTTTTTTTTTGTGGTTTCTGCAACCGTTCTTTGAGCAAAGAGACAAGTCACACTCAAGATGGCTGAGGACGCCATGGGCTCAACCGCCGGCGCGCGCAACGACCCGCTGGCCGCCTCCACCACCTCTTCCACTCTTGAAGCAGGTGCCCCGGGTGGTCAAACCACCCTGCCTCTCATTGAGCTGCTTGACATTGACCCCAACCATGAGGCCGGGTCCAGTAGCCGTGCATCGTGCGTTGTACCGCGTGCCCCTGCCCCGTCCCCATAAATGGAAACTTTTTTTTTCCCAAGCATTGACTGACGGTTGGCCATGTCGATGCTGTTGGCTGCCGGCTTCTTGTAGATTTGCGCGCGGCGCCGTGGCTGGCAACGAGCCCCAGCAGCTGACGCTGGCTGACGTGCTCAAGCGCGAATACCATTCCGACTCGGTGCGATGCTTTTTTTTTCTTCTCCCAGCTCTTGTTTCTTTCCCTGTCTACGCTTGTTTGAGCGAGCAATTGCGCTTTGGTTCTTCACTTCTCCTTGTACCTTTCCCTTCTGGATGCTTCGTCGCTCTCTGACAGCATGAAACCATTTTCTCCTTTTTCTCAGGATTCAGAGCCGGATGACAAGGAGCTCGAGGTGGCCTTGCCCGTGCCCTCAGTGTATGGTGATGCGCGCTACACCATCAACGAGGAGCGCGACATCAAGAAAGCCGAAGCCGCCTGGCTCCTTGCCCGTCGTGCCGGTTCGTCTCTTTGCTCTTCAGCTCTTCAACTCGACTCGCCCTTGTTATCCTTCTCACGTGGGCCATCCTGGCAAAATTCCTTTAGATGCCACGGCGTCCCCGACGCGTAGTATTCCTGGTGAGACAGAGCTCACAACGCCAGTCTCCAACTTTGGCGGTGACGGCGGCGACTCTTCCAGCGGCACCTACACCTGTCATGGCATTGACTACCGTCGTGTGCTTACCACGCACACCGAATACGTGAGTCTCTTGGCCCCCCAACGTCAACATGCACCTACCATGGCTCTTTCGGGTTCACTTTTTTTCACCCAATGGTTGCTCCCCCTTTCATTTTCCCCCCATAATAGCATGACCTCGAGTCCAGCGACATTGGCGCAGTCATTTTCAAGGCTCTCCGCATGCGTGACAAATACATGTTCCGTTCGGAGCAAGAGACCCCCGAGTACCTCCGCCAGCTTTTGCATCAGGATCGGGATCTCTTGAAGACTCACGTTGGTGGCGGTGACGTCAAGTTCTCCATGCCAGCCAGCGAGCGGGTAAGTCCACCACGACAATACTCACTTGCACCCAGGCATTCTTCAGAAATCAGGCAAGGCCCAGCTCATGCGTCTGAGGATTGATTAGGTGCGCACCGTGTCGTCCAACGACCAGCCCTTGGCCTCTCAGGCTCAACGCCAAAGCATTGTGCAGGCTGGCACTGAGCAATTTGAAATGGTAATTCTCAATATTCGAGCTGCCTTCGTTCCCGCTGCCATTCTTTTGTGCATCCGTGCTCCCCTCTGACGTCCACCGTCTGTCGTCCTTGCAGGTGGATGGCGTCTTCAACGTAATGGCCGATGTGGACGGCGTGCGTCATTCCCTCTACAAATACGTTTGTACGTTTCGCGAGTCTTGCACGGACACCCCAATGAGGAAACACGCGAGGCTCAGTGCGGCGCTGGCCTTCTCATGGCTGTTTTTGGTCGGCATTTGTAGCGGCCCGCATCTACCTGCGCGATCTTTACCATCTTTTGGCGGTCGTCAACGACGGCCCCACCAAGTCCTTTGCCTTCCAGCGTCTTTCGGTAAGCAGTCAGCGGGCTGAGGGCCTGCACCTGGCCATCATCAAAACTTTGCCATTGAACCTGCCTAATGCTCCATGATTGGCCTTGTGCACAGTACTTGCAGGAGAAATTCCGCCTTCATACGCTCTTGAACGAGACGGAGGAGTCTGGTGCGCCCCTCAATCTACCTGCTTGCCATGCATTGCAATCCTGTTTTCATTCGCCTCACCACATTGCTGGTTCTTGCTACTCTTGCGCACAGCCGAGCAAAAAGCGGTGCCCCACCGTGACTTTTACAACGTGCGCAAGGTGGACACCCACGTTCATCTCTCCTCCTGCATGAACCAAAAGCACCTCCTGCGCTTCATCAAGGTCTGTCCTGGACCCGCTTTCATCCCGCCGGGCACTTGGGCGCCCTTTTCTTCCTGGCTGGACGCTTTTGGCTCATGGTGATATGACGCCGTTGAACACGCGTAGCACAAGTTGAAAACCTCACCCAACGAGGTTGTCATCCATCGTGATGGCAAGGACCTCACTCTGCAGGAGGTCTTTGAGAGGTGCGTGGTATTGTTCACATGGACAGCACTGAGACCCGCCTTTTCCTCCCTGTCCAGTCCTGCACCATGGTGTGTTGACACTTGCAGCCATGTTCGCTTACCTGCTGCTTTTGACGCTGTGCAGCTTGCGGCTGACGGCCTACGATCTCTCCATTGATACCTTGGACATGCATGCTGATCGCAACACCTTTCATCGCTTTGACAAGTTCAACCTCAAGTACAACGTACGCTCGTCGTTGGTGCTGCGCCTTGGTGCACGTGTGCCCTGTGACAACTCGCCATGCTGATCGAGAGTTGCTTTCATCTTCCATAGCCCATTGGCGAGTCGCGCTTGCGTGAGATTTTCCTCAAGACCAACAACAAGGTTGGCGCACGTCTTTGTGTTTAACTTGCGCGTGCAAGCACACAGCTCGGACAGCATCGCGGCGCTTGTTTGCAAATGTCACCTTTTGTCGTGTTTACCAAACATGTTGATCGCCTCTTCTCCTGACGGTTTGTGACGCCAGATTGGCGGAAGCTACTTTGGGGAGCTCGTTCGCCAGGTCATTGACGACCTCGAGGATTCCAAGTATCAAATGGTATGTTAAATAATTCAAGGCGGTACTGATCTTTGGTCTAGCTTGAAGTCTGGCTCATATGCTATGAACCGGTTCTTCAATGTCTCACAAACGCCAATTCTCATCGGTTAGGCCGAATACCGTGTGTCAATCTACGGCCGCTCTGCCCACGAGTGGAACAAGCTGGGCGCTTGGTTCTGCAACAGCAACGTGGCATCGGATAACGTCCGCTGGCTCATTCAAGTGCCTCGCCTCTAGTACGCCCTCTGGCCATCCTTGGTGCCCTCCCCCATGCCCGGGCATGTGCAAATAAATGAGCGCAGACGTGCAACTCATCTGGCCTCACGCCCGCCCGCCCGCCTGCCCTTTCCTGGCTGTTGGCAGCCACGTGTACAAGTCGGCGGGTCAGATCAACACCTTTTCCGAGGTTTTGGACAACATTTTCCGACCCCTCTTTGAGGTCTCCAAGGACCCGAGCTCCAACCCACAGCTGGCCGCTCTCCTGGAGCATGTGGTTGGCTTTGACAGCGTGGATGATGAATCCAAGCCCGAGCCCATCCCGCACACTGCCACGTAGGTTGCCTGCCTGCATGTATTTTACTCTCAGAGGAGAGCCACCTGGGCCAGTGTGTGTGTGTGTGTGTGTGTGTGTGTGTGTGTGTGTGTGTGTGTGTGTGTGTGTGTGTGTGTGTGTGTGTGTGTGTGTGTGTGTGTGCAAGCGTCCTTTCTCAATTGGCGCGTGGACGGCTCCAGGTCTCCACTTCCCGAGCAATGGAACGACACCAACAACCCCAGCTACTCGTACTGGTGTGTCACTTGTACCCTCTTGGCCCGTATCCGGTAGCTTTCATACACTCACTGGCGTGAGACCCGCTTGCTCCCTCTCATGACTTGATATAGGCTGTACTACATGTATGCCAACATCAGCGTGCTCAACAAGGTCAGTTATTGGGTTCTCAAACTGAGGAACTGGGAATTGTCTGGACCCGGCTCTCATCATGGCTTGCTCACGCTTTTTTTTTTTTCTTTTTTTTTTAAACTCACACAACAGTACCGTCAAGATCGCGGCCTCAACACCTTCACGCTGCGCCCCCACTGCGGCGAAGCAGGGCCCGTTGAGCATCTTGGTATGTTTATGCTTTCTTCTTTGTTAACATCGTGATGGTACTTTGCGGCTTTTGTAAATTGCCACACTTGTCTCACCGCCCACGTCGATTTGGCATACTCGTGCCTACAAATAGCTACCGGTTTCTTGCTGTGCGAGAACATTTCCCACGGCATCCGTCTTCGCAAGGTTTGTTCACCGGCTTTAGTTGCTGCTGCTGCTTGCGCATTGTTCTCACGCCTGCTTGGATCCGTCACAGATGCCAGCACTGCAATATCTCTATTACCTGGCTCAAATTGGCCTGTGCATCTCGCCGCTCAGCAACAACAGCCTCTTCTTGCAATGTACGGCATTTTCTTCTTGCAGAGCGTTACACCGTCGCACACACCACCCCGACGTCGTGCCTGACTCAACCTGTTTGATGCGCGTGTATTTGACGTAGACCACCGCAACCCCTTCCACGACTTTTTCTGCATTGGCATGAACGTGTCCATCTCCAGCGGTATGCCTGATGCCCTATTTCCTTCATTGCTCTACAATCACTGTCGCCGACAGAAACGCGTTCAAGCAACACGCTCTCACCACCTCCGGACATGGCATTGATCTTGGCATGGGGGCACAGATGATCCGCTGCAATTCCACTTCACGCGCGAGCCCTTGATTGAGGAATATTCAGTCGCCTCCCAGGTAATTTTTGTGTCCACCTGGTGGCCATTTGTTTGGTTGTTTGGTCCAAATGTACTCTGCGTCAGTGGCTGCCACACTTGTCCTCGGCGTGCGTCTGTGCTCACATCAGTCGCCATGTTGCCGTTTGTAGGTGTTCAAGCTGTCGCCCACCGACATGGCCGAGCTGTGTGTCAACTCGGTCAAGATGTCAGGCTTCCCGGCCGCCTTTAAATCCAAGTGGTTGGGCGGTAGCTGGCGACTGCCTGGTCCCACGGGCAACGACATTACGTACGCGTGCTGGCTTAGCATCCGCCGTGCTTGTTCTTGGCTCGCCGTCTGTCTCACTCACTCGCTTGTACTGCTTTTTTACTAGCCGGACCAACCTGCCCAACGTGCGCTGCGCCTTCCGGTACGAGACGCTGCGTGGCGAGCTCGACACGATTGTTCAGCTCGCTCGCTCGCATCATCGGGTTGTGGTCACAGACCGCAGCGGCGGATCCGAGTGAGAAATCATTTTTTTTTTTTTTTGAGCAGTAAAGCAACAAGGGCTCGTGTGTACATTGCCGACCCAGTTAACGGCTTCTCCACAATGTGCGGACAATTGGCTTGCATACGTGCTCAGTCTCGCTCGTTCAGGCTTGGTGCGCACGCCGATGCAGACTCGAAGCGTTTATGTGCACAATCGATTACTGCTTTCCAGTGCGTGCGCTACCGAAATGGCAAATGTACATTATATTCGGGACAAGCAAGGGTTCTGCCATCGCACACGGCTATAATAAAATGCGACGACTTTCATGGCAGGCTTTGCGCGCAAGCACGCACCTTACAGTGAAAGAGAACGAGAGAGAGAGAGAGAAAGAGAGAGAAAGAGAGAGAGAGAGAGAGAGAGAGAGAGAGAGAGAGAGAGAGAGAGAGAGAGAATGGAAGGGCAAATTAACATCCACTACAGTCTACATCCGTATTTGATTTCTGGTTGGTCAGTCGGATAGCTTGGTAATGAGGCGAGCGAAGTCGGCGATTTCACGCGTCGTATCAGGTGCCCGCAGGCGGACGATGTAGGCATGGCCATTGTCACAGGCAGCGGCAACGACTTGGGGTCGCCGGACGTTGGGTTGAACGTGTCGAATAGGTTTGTCGCCGAGTGGGATCTTTTCCGTGTATCGTACCGTGCTCATCTATATTGTTCACGTACCCGAAAAGCCAGACACGTTTGAGTCAGGGAACCACGGGGGGCCAAGGCACAACGAGGGGAGCAGAAGAAGAAGATACTGGTGATGCAAGCCGCAGTGCTTACCATGAGGTCATACACCAAAAGATGGCCGTCCTCAGTACCAACGACGAACATGCCCGGATGTCCTGCGAGCCACGCAGCCGCTAACAAGGCGCCGCACTGTGGCGCAAACCGGAGAATTGGCTCTGCCTATTCATGCGCAGAGCCAGCAATGCACACATCCCAGCCGCGCCATGAATACCAGCGAGGTGTAAAACAAAGGTTCAAATACGAAGCCCTTGTGCCTTCAGGCGGGATCTGCACAGGAAGGGCCACGGCGAAACAATCGGGAGAGAAGCATCGCTAGCCAGGTGGAGCAGCGTCTCACCTGGAAGCGCGAGTAGATGTGGGCAGTACCATCGGTGGAGGCGGTGAGAAACAGCTTGTGCACAAAGGGGCAGGTGGCGACGGCATAGCAAGGTCCTAAGTGAGGTTGGTAGGAGAAGACGGCCGGCGAGACTTCGGTGGTAGGGGCATCATCGTTGCGCTCCAGCACTACGCGCACAAGATAGCCAGACTCGCTTGCAACCACGCCATCCTCAAGCTGGTCATAAGCTTGCGCCAAGGCCGTAACTGGGACATTGCGATCCATGAGGTAGGCGGTGAGAGGACTCTGGCTCAAGGCGGGCGGGAGGGAAAAAAATATGAGGTGGGCTTCAAGCCACAAACGCCATCTGACTCACTGCCGTAGGCCGTGGTACGAGCCACACGTGTAGACGCCAAGTGGTAGCGAGGTACGTCTTGCAGCGTTAGCGAGAATCTGTCAAGAAACATCGTGAGGATTAGTTGTAGAGCAATCAGAGGGTTGAGTAATCAATCAGCCCGAATGGTCGCGCATCGCTTCAGTGGTCGTGCCGATCCGTGGGTTCAGAGGGCTCACTTTTGGAGACGGGTCATGACGTGTGTTTCGGCAGCCCCATAAAGCTCTTCGTCAACTTCATCGCGCTGCGTCGTGTCGAGAAAGTTTTGGTTCTTTTGCTTGACAATGCTCCAGCGAGTAATGACGCCATCTGGTGCTGCACTTAGCAGCTGCAAGCGGAAACAATTAATCGGAATTACTCAAAATCGAAGCCAACCTCAACTAGACGAGCGCGAATGTGCGAGGTTTCGTTACTAGCAGAGGAGTGGGAAACGGACTGACCTGTGGCTCGGACTTACGCCCACCTCGAACAGAGGAGACTAGATCACCGCCTGGTGAGAGCCATCGTAGGGCCGCTACCGGCTCACAATGGGAGTCATCAAAGTTGGAGGTAGCCATGATAAAGCCACCACCTTGTCGACCCGTGTCCATGAGCACAATGTCTCCAATCAGCAGCCCGGCAGCCAACCAAGCCGGGCGCTCGGGATGGAAAGCCAGACAGCTTGCGCACGACTACGATGGATCAGGAAGGCGATGGTATGTCAGCATAGTTGCCCAGTCACCTCTGGTGCGGTGCAACGAGATGGCAGACGGGCATCGCTGCGCGCCATGATCCTTGGCGGATGCTCACCCGCAGTTCAAGTGTCTGTGAAGCCTTGTGTACATTGATCTGGCGATCCAGGCTCCACTGCAAGAGGCACAGGAACGGTCAAAGCACCGACCGTGAGCGCCTCCGCCCACTCGCATCAAAGAGATACAAAGTATCAAGAAGCATGGCAAGTCCTGTCAGGCTAGCAGCTGTTGGAAACAGACCAAGCAAATATTTGAAGTTTGAGTCCACCAGTCTTCGTAATCGGTTCGGCCATAAGCAACCGCCACCACACCGCCTGTGGAGCAAAAGTCTACGGCAAGACATTGCTCCTCTCGGCCAAAGCGTAAATCACTCAGATCCATCTCCACTTTGGTGTCCCGAGAATCTGCTTCCGACTCCACTCTGTATCCTGCATGGGGTTTGTTGGGGGAGGTTAGATTGAGGGGGATAGGGATTGGGGTGCGTGAGACAAAAGCAGCGGCGTGCGGTTGGCAGCAGTCGGCTGGCACGCTGAGCCTACCATCAAAGGCATATGACTGAGCGTTGCGCTGCAGGTTTTGAAGCATACGGGGAACGGTGGCTCGTAGGAACTGTAGGACTTCCTGCAATCGGACCACGCCAAAGGCTCATGAGAGGTCGAGCTGCCAACCCATTGACAAAATTAGCAAGGGCACCGGCTGCTGCCTTACCGGTGAATCATCACTGCCTTGAAAGCGAAAAACTTGCTGTGAAACATCATCCGGCTCGGTTGCTGCGTCTGTTTGCACCTGTTGCACCCAGCAGTGGACCTGTGAGCGAAAGTCCGCCTGGGGGTTGAGCACGAGCAAGCCGTAGTCTCTGGCTGGCTGACCTGTTGACTGCGGCGATCGCAGCTCGTCGTGGTAGCCGCAGCATCTTGTCTCAGCACAGCTGAGGTTTGTGTATCGGCGTCCACCGTGGTCCTACACAAGCCCACAGCCAAGACCGAGACACGCAAGGAGGGGTGATCCGCAGGTCCATCATTTCAAATTGAGCTCAAATGTGAGAGCTCCTTCGCGGTTGCCGCTCCCACGTCCTCCTCCTCCACACCCGGCACATGAGTACATACGTTTGCTTTGACCATGACGAAGGAATGGAATGCACCTCCAACATCCCGGTGGGAGCATCGCCAAACGTGTAGCTCGCCATCACCACCACCCGCTACCGACAGCTCGACCGAGAGTGAGAGAGAGTTTGAGAGAGAGAGAGATTTAGAGAGAGAGAGAGCGCGCAAAACCCCAAAAAAACAAAAGGATAGGTAAATATTAAAGAGGCCAATGTTATTTTAGACCAGATTCAAGTGTGAATTTGTTACACTATCGCATAGACGCCATGACGACGCCCGGCGGCAGTCGTGAGTCAGCCCTGCCCAGTACAGCGGGGCTGACCACCCGGTTGTTTAGCCGGCATGTTCCCGTGGCACCGCGCGAGACGGGTGAGTCGGGGTTGCGCTCGGAACGTGAGGAAGGGCACGAGTTTTAGCTGGATGGGTGGTGGCTTTCATCCTGTGCGGTCAGGCGCCACTCATCTTGCCTTGTTGCGCCTTGCGCAGGTGCTTCGCGAGAGCTCTGGCGGCGGGGTCGCGAGGAAGATATGTCAGCTGTTTTGCCAGCCATCTCCGCTCGCGCGAGCGATCAGCAGCCTCCAACGATCAAGCGGCGCGATCGAGCTTTTCTTGCTTCCCTGACTCGCGCCGAGCAGCGTCGCTTGTTTGCTCGTCCGGGGTTTGCGCCCCTCCCCGAAGGTGACCCCAGCACTTCAGCGGGGCCACGCCATCTCCGCTTTGCCACGGGTCCCGCCGATTCCATATCGGCTGACGAGCATGTGGGATCAGAATCGCTAGCTGCCCAGGAATGGCGCCGACTGTGGCAGGCCTATTTGCTTCGGCATCGCATCGATGTCCATCACTCCGACACTGGCTTGGGCCACGTTGACCGATCTGCCAGCGCCAAGTCAAGCGCTTCATTGGCACCAGCTTCTGCCTCACTGGCAAGGACGCGCAACGCAACGAACAAGTCCGGCCGGCGCGCGCAGAGCAAGGCCCGGAGCCAACCACCACCGAGTGCCACTGCAAGCGAAGCGGCTCGGCTGCCGGCCCCAGGAGCGATCCCCATCCGGCAAAAATATCGTGACGTCGTTCAATGGGATGAGAACACGGCGGCGGAGGTACCGTCCCTCCAATCCAATCGTTGCCAGGTCGCCCCTTGCATTTCTATCCCGCTCGACCTCACTTGGGTTCGCGACAGGCGCTGGCTGACCTGGCCGATTCGAGTGACTTTGTGCGAGCCAATGCAGCTTGCATGCACCAGGGCACTTACCATGCCACTAAGCGACGGCCTTTGCCCCCACCTGCCATCTTGAATCGCCTCAAGGCCCTGTTAAACGACAGGTGCGCCTCTCTTGAGCCCCTTCTTGTTTCTTACAGGCTGTTGGCATTTGCAGACGAGCACTTGAGATCTCCGGCGCACACCACTCCACGTCGTCTCATTTGTCCATTCTTCTTTCAATGTCACGGCCTCGTCCATCGCAGTTCAATCAACGTGCGGCGCGAGGCTGCCCTGACGTTGGTATGCCATCTAGGCCCAGCCATCACTCAAGCGCAAGAGGTGTTGGAAGAAGGGTTACAAAATGGCAACCCTGATTTCGTATGGGCTGCGAGTTGTGCCCTCGCCAGCATCGGTCGCGTGGGTGGACAGGTCGCAGAGCAATTGATTGACCGCTACACACTTGGTGATGACCAGCAACGGACCGTGGCGCTGGCGTTGCTGCAGCACGTTATGGATGACGACCCCATGATTTTGTATGTGCGGCCAGGACTCACAACCGCTGGGTCTCGCAGCAACTGCCCCTGCGTCGTAATTTTCACGCATCGTCTGAACAATAGGGGCATGATTACGCAAATGCTGACAGATCACGATGCACTCCGGCGACGAGCAGCGGTCGAACTGGTGCATTTACTTGTGACTTATTACACGCAAGATATCTTTACCTGCCTCAGCACTTTGCTCTGGGAGGACGAAAACGAAGCGGTAGGCTCTTGATGAAGCGCCAACTATTTTGATCCGGCTATTCCTCACGGCCTATTGTGTTCGCCGCTGCTGGACGTCCACCGTGTACCGGGTGACACGTGGTACGCAGGTGCAAGATGCTGCGTGCGCTGCTTTGGTGGAGCGCGACTACGGGCATATGGTGCACGAAGAATTGTCTCGACGCTTGAGTGCGGCCACCGAGCGCACCAGGCTTGCCGCTCTCCGCCGCCTCGGCAAGCTCCGCCACGTGAACTCGCGATTACTGGATCATGTCGTTCACGCTCTCAAGGATGAGTACAGCAACGTACGCCTGGCCGCGTGTAAGGTAAGAAGCCTTGTTCATGTATTTGCACTGTTACGTTCGCTCAGCGACGGTGGCGCAGAAAGTCATCTTCACCTGCGTCTCTGCTTTAGGCGTTGGGCACGCTGGAATCACCCACGCCAAAGGTTATTGATGCCTTGCTGACGGCGCTCGAGCAGGATAGCAATGTCAGCGTACGCTTGGAAGCGCTGCGCGGTGAGTGGCTGATCCTGCAGATCAACAAAGAAGAGAGAGGAAAAAAAAAAAAAAAAAGAGGGAGAGAGAGAGAGAAAAGAAACGAAACAGAAAATAGCTACCAGTGTGCATTCTTTCCCGCGAACATGACGTCGCTTGGCACCATTTGAAGCGGGCTCTTATGGGATGGTTTTTGTTGCCATGTGTTGGACTAGCTTTGGATTCGCTCAAGGTTCAAAAGTTGCGGCTCAAGTCCTGCTTACTGTGGCTGGTGCGCGGTCTGCTTTGAGCTTTGTGCTGGTTCACCGCGTACTCGAGCATGTATCGTTCATCTCATTGCCTGGGCATCTCTCGGTCTATGACAGATTCAATATTCGGGAGACGCGCGACTGGTTATACTGGCGCTGGAGCTCTTGCCCAAGCTTGTCGCCACTGTTGACGACAGCACCGAGTCGGCGTTGTTATCCCGGTACGTTGCGTTTCATCACTTTACCTACAACTCGTAGCATCCAGCCGAGTTGGACGGGGGTCGAGAATATCGCATGGCTGACCTGGACACGCGCTTACATTTCCAGTCAAGCCGATAAGCGACCAGAGGTGCAAGAGGTGCTTCGCATTTGTCTCGACAAGTTGCACTGGCATCCGCAGCGCAATCAGTTGGAGGAGCATTTCGAGCAAATTCAACATGACCTTGACTGCATGTCCGCCAAGAACAGCCTGATGAAAACGTTCGTTGTCCCGCTCTTTGAGGCCATCTTTGGTTGATTGCTTCCTGCTTGCATTCCCGATGTCTCTCACCGTCTGTTCCTCGTCGTTTTATTTTTCTTTAATCTGATCTATTGTTTTGTGTGAATTGCCACCCCACAGCTTTGGCCTGCAACCTCTAGGCTCGGAGAGTGAAGCTCACGATGATCTTTAGTGCAAACCTCGTAAAAATTGTGCGAAGCCTAGGGTGGAAAAACTCGACTCGTGGTAATCGACTCCATCAACCTGAAGGAATGCGCTGTACCGTTGGACGGGGCCAATAGGCCTCATCTGATCACTCACGGTCAATCACTTCACAGAGTACTCGCCGGATCTGCTCAACGGAAGCTGAGGGCAGGCATGAGCCACATGGAACAAGAAACTAATCAGAGAGCAGCCACACGTGTGTTTCTTAGTTGTGTGTTTGTGTGTGTGTCTCTCTCTTTTCTCTCTCTCTCTCTCTCTCTCTCTTTTTTTTTTTTTTCGTTTTTCTCGTTTTTTTTTTTTTTCATTTTCTTTCATTTATTTTGATTGATGTGTGAGAGAGCGTCAACATCATCATCATCATCATGAATCGCCTGGACGACTTTCGGCGGGTGGCCGGGGGTGTGGGCGAGGCCGAGGCGGCCGAGAAGGGCGCACGGAAGGATGCCGAGGGCGCAACGGGGTTGCGTAAGCGAGTAACAACACTGAGCAGTGCAGCACCTACCTCGGATAAGAGTGCGACTGAACAATCAACCACCATCACGTCTGCGTCGGATCTCTTGGCCTCAGGGGAGGCTCAGCTCGAGGCCGGCCGCTCTGCACTTGCTGCGCGCATGGGGGCGGCCTTGTTTCGCGCACTGCAGTCCCTGCGCGCTGCATTGGAGGGCTGCGCTCGGGACCTGGGTACACACGATGGCCGGCTACGTGGCACGGGTGCGCTGCTGGTCGGACCAGAACGCTTCGAGCGTCAGGATACACTCACAGTGGTGAGCGACACCAAAGCCAGCCTTGTACAGTTGGAGCAGGCCTTGGCTGACTTGCGGCGGCAGCTGGACCAACAGGTCACAAGCTTACCAAATGATTGGTACCAGCACCTCGGCACCGCACACGCTCATTTAGTTGACCGTTGTGCAGCTTTGGCACGCTGGTGTCAAGACATTCAAAACCATCGCCGCCGCGTTCAAGCTGTGTTGGACGGCGTCCGGCTTGCTACCCCCACGCTGTTGCCACGGCCGCTGGACTCGTCGTCCACGCGTCCCACCTTGCACCTCAGGCTAAAAAAGGCCAACACAGACACTGCCAAACCAGAGCTTACCAACAAGAGTTTGAAAGCCAGCGGGGTGCACCCTCGCGATGGCCCGATGGCTACCAATGTCGGCCGTGAGGACCCCACCCCTGCTAGTTCGAGTGATGGGGCATCGGATATGACCCCTTCTCCGGCCATGAGTCAGGCCTTGGCGCAGCAGGTGCGTCAATTTCGCACCGAGCTGCACGACATGGCCCGTGAGGTGGACCAAGCACAGGATACCCTGTATGAGCTGGCAAGCATGCAGTCGCGCTTGATGGGCAAGCTGCAGGAGCAGGATGTCACAATTGAGCAGATCCAGCAGGATGCGGAAACGACTCTCCACAACGTCGATCGGGGCAACGAGGAGCTGACTGAGGCCATTCGCTACAATCGCGACTTTCGCCAGGGCGTTCTCCTTTTTTTCATCATTCTCTCCCTGTGCCTGCTGTTTTTTGACTACCTCAGTGGCTAGACGCTCTCAAGCGTCGTGGCTACCTCTACCCGCCCCTCTTGTTTTCTATGCATATATCATCCAAATTGAGCGTATCCTCAGATCTTTTCTATTTTTTTCAGCGCGCCTGCTCGGCGGGCCCAAGCGAGACAAGCGGTACGATCGTGACACTTGCACAATGTGCCTCCAAACATTCAACATTCAAAAGCAGAATCCACCGCCGTCGCCACCACCGCCATCTTTCATCATCATTATCAACCACCTTCAACGCCAGTCTTGCATCCACCATCACCAAAACCAGGCCTTGCTGGGATGGCTACTCACACATTGGGAGGACTCAATGTTATGCCGATTAGGACCAGCCAGAGCTAATGCGGTTCACAAGCTTGGTGACCTGCTTGTCAGACATGAGTTCGGAGGCCTCAATGGCATTGGCCAACAGCACGGCGTCCATGGGGGCTTCTGTCTTTAACCACATGCGCCCGTTCATGCCCACACACAACTCAAACTTCTTGCGTGAGCCGAGCTCCGTCAGTACCCGGCAGTTCTTGCCTCGTAACCTGAGTTCATCATGCGCGAATGAGCAGATGCATCCAGATGGTTTTCAAACACATTGCCGCAAAGAAGCGGAGGGCTATTTGAGATGGGCAAGCAATCGCGGTGGGGCAACAACACGCACCTGCGGCAGAGACCAAGCGAGATTTCGCGAAGCAGGCCGCCTTCCAAATGGCCCATGCCGGCACTTTTACCACCTGATGTCACACAGGTCAGCTCGGGGTCCATATCACGATTCGCCACCTTCAACCGCGCCAGCACTAGGTCCCCCGGCTGCGAGAAGCATCCAAGGCAGGAAGCGCGTGATGAGGCGAGGGCAAAAGTGCAGCCAAGGCATCATTCTCAGAGCCTGATAAAAAGTCTGAAGGTCCAGGATCGACACGTACATTAAGTCGGGGGCGATTGCGGCGCGTCGCGCCCTCGAATGCTAGGCCCGGCAACCTGTCAATCATGATGGACCCAAAGCATTTTGATCATTTGAGCACCATCTTTGTTCACTCTGTGGCGCAAAGCTGACGAGAGGTTGTGGGTGCCCGAGGCTGTGTGCACGAGGAGAGGTGGCAGTGGCGGCAAAAACAGGGAAGGGATTCTGGTAAAACAGGTAGTGTAAAACGGCAGCGGGTGATGGCACCTACAAGGCATTGCTGGCACCTCCGATGTCCACTAGAAAACCTTCGCCGGCATTGCCAATGATGATGCCAAGAACTTGGTCACCCTCGGCTGTCTGAGGCTGCGCGGGGGATCAAAGAGATCAGAGTCGACAAGCTGGTCGCCGCACAAGTCGGCACTTGCAAGCCATCGGCACGGCGAAGACTTACGTTGTGTGTGGCAATGTCTACCCAAAAGGTGGCCTCACCCTTTTGCCGAAGAATGCCGCCATGTGTGACGACGCCCTCGCTGCCGTGCGAGCTCTGTTGGGTTGTCAAACCGGGACCCAGCACCACCTTGCCCGAGTCCGGCAAGGGAAACCGATCACCCGGCACCACCACGCGTGGGCCCGTCCCCTCTGCCATGCTACTGTTCAAACCTGACCGCAATATCCAACGCCCACCACTCTCACTCGTCCTGCCTTCCCTCTGCCAATGCCCGATAATTCCAGCTGTTTGCTTGCTGCTGCTGCTGCTCCCGTTGCGCCGAAAAAAAAAAAAAAAAAAAAAAAAAAAAAAAGACAGAACGTTCGTGTGTGTGTGTGTGTGTGTGTGTGTGTGTGTGTGTGACCGCGTGCTTTACAACTTTGACAAGAGAGGAATTGTCAGACAATTGATTCACTCGTTTCTTCGTTGGCTCACTCATATGGGAGGGTCTGGCCCTTGGTGCTGGTTGGCCTTGAGGGAGGGGAAGGTTTAGAAGAGGCTGAGGAGGGATGACTGTGTCTCAGACATGAGGTTGATGCGCAGGATGGAGACGATGCGGAGGCGCCGGTCTGTAAGTTGATCAACGCTGGCTTCGTTGGAAAGTGCTTGCTGCTCAACAGACAAAATGGCAGCCACGTCGTCCAGCATTTCCTCGTGGACATCCGCGTCTAGCCGCGAGTGATTCTGAACCTAACACGGACAAAGAAAGTTGAGTCAAAAGCAACCCACCAGAGCTGCGCAATGAGAGGGCCCTGGGGCCTACGTACTTGGCGACTAAAATTCCAACAGGCCACGACGAGCTCGCCGGTGCGCCGGTTCGTGTCCACACCACCCGCAACGCCCACAGCCAGAACAGCGCGCTCAACATCGGTCAGTGCCGTCTGCACGCCTCGTTGCTCGGCGCGAAAACTCCGAGCAAAGCGTCCCTGAACCAGGCTAAACATCAGCCAATGAGCCGGTTGCAAGCGAGACTCGGAGGACTCAGGGGGGGGGGGACAGGTGCCGTTGCAGCGGCTTCACTCACTGGCGGAGGCCGTTGATCGACGCCCAAGCCACACCCACGGCTGGTAGGAGGGCAATCAGTTGGAATGTCAATTCATTGCTGCGCATGAGCTTGTCCATGCCAGACAGGGCCTGTTGAATATCCACCTTGGCCTTTTGGATCTATCGAAACACAACGCGGATGAGGACGATGCAGTCTTGTTTGGTCGCCGTGTGCTACAGGCAGAGATCAAACCTGGATCAAGATGGTGCGAAGCAGGCTGCCATCCACGACATGGCTCAAAGGCTTGCGGATGCCTTCCTCAAAGTCCTGCATGACAATGGTCAGGTCGCCTTCGCGCACCTGCATCAGGGCCACCGGGGGGTTGAGACAGATAGGCAGACAGGCATACAGACACGCGCCAAGTTTACAATCTACCTGTTGCTGCAAAGACGAGACGTCCACTTCGAGACGATGAAAGTCCACGGCAAAATCGCGCACCATGCGCTGCAAACGCACGCACGCCGAGATCGGGAATCAGCATAATGGTGCACAAGAGCAGGACGCATGATCACAACGGGCTGGGCGGGCCCAGCAGACCTGGAGTGAATCAAGCTCGGCCTGGGACGAACGCCCCAGCTGCAAAGCCAAATGCCCCTGTGTCCAAGAAATGTGTCCGTTTTTCCGCAGACATGTGCATTCGATGAGAACCGGCCCCGGTCTGAGCGCGCTGCAACAGGCGTGGGTCGAGATAAGAGCCGTCGATGACCAACCTGGTCATAACGAATGCTTTGGTACATCTCAAGAAGAGGCTGGCTCAGAGAGAGGATGGATGCAACGCACATCCGTGACGTGAGCGCAAGCGCGGGTCTGCCCAGTTGATGGTGGGGCAGGCCAGTATGCAGATTCAAACCTGGTACAAGCGTTGCTTGGTAAAGTTATAGACGAGCGTGTACACGTCGACCAGCCGTTCCTTGGCATAGTCTGTGAGGTTCAAACCTTTCCAGATACTCAAACCAAGCAACCCTAGGCCAAAACCGGCAGCATAGACCGGCCAAGCACGCAAGAGGCGAAATGGTAGTGCCACGGCACGTTCAAGGCCCGTCGGTGAGGCGCGGCTCTTGCGCGCATCCAGTTGCTGAAGCTTGGCGTGCAGCGATTGCTCAGCTTCGGTCGCCCAGCTCTCCGTTGCAGCGTCAAAGGCAGCCAAGCTGCTATTTGAACCACGCTCTACAGGTGAGGAGGGCAGGCGGCCAAAGACCTCGAGTTCCCATCGCAGCAAGGCTCCGAGCTCTCGTAAGAGCAGATTCTCCTCTCGGCGCATTTGGGTGAGGTAGTGTTCAATGCTGCTGAGAGCTTCACGCCATGCTGTGCGCATCAAGACAGGCGCCCGCTTCCAGAAATCAAGGGTAAGCAGGCCTTGCCACCCCAAGGGCTGAAGTGCTGTGCGCATCTCCAAGTACACAAACCACGGCCAAACTATATCGAGGTCAGGGCAGCGGCCAGGTCAGCTAGGTCACAAATTACCAGCAAAAAATCAAATGCAACCACATACGAAGGAGTCGGCGGTATGGTGCCGAGAAGCTGGGAGAGATTGCGCATTGAATGGCAAGGGAGGAGGCAGGCAGGGAGCAAGGCAGGGCTGCAGTGAGCAGGGCGCGTGACACGGCAAGGATCAGAGAAAAATTGATATACCCATACCGGCGTAGAACCAGCCAGCGCTGCTGGGCATCACGGAGACGATGAATGTCATCGATGCGGGTGGCAATGTTCTCGCCGTAGACGGAGTTGGTTGCAGGGGGCAAAAAAATGGCTAAGCCAAGAGGCATGTGCAGAGCATCGGAGGTCAGCAGAGTTGGCTGCAAGAGAATCATATCGCGTCGCTGCACGTGGTGACCACAAGCAAGGGAGAGAGTAGCTCAGGGCGGTTGTCACGCGCAATTGTAAAGGATTATTTCAAGGCGCGCTGACCTTCGACGTCAGGTTTGCTGTAGAGCCAGCTATGCAGCTGGTGCCGCCGCTGATCAAGCATGGCCATGACCGCCGGTGGCCACTGTTGCAGATGATGCCAAGCGGTGGAGCACCGCTTGAGTTGAGGTAGCGAGAGTCCAAAGCCGTTGACCAGAACTTCAAGCCCGTGTCAACGTCCAATTCCAACGACGTTAACGTGCCCCCCCCAAAGCTCCAAACCCGTGCGAGTTTCCGTCAACCTCGCGAGCCGGGAGGCGAACTGCGTGAACGAGAGAGAGAGAGAGAGAGAGAGAGAGAGAGAGAAATGGCTCCAAGTTGTCGTTTTGAGTATCAGGGCTTTTTTTTTTTTTTTCTTCTTCTTCTTTTTGTAACGCTTTGGTTTGTGTATGTGTATGTCTCGGCTTCATCTCGGTCGTTCTGGCTCCAATTCTGATGGGCTGCATCGACTAGGTCAGTGTCTGGGGCCTTTGGTGTTTGGCAAGTCAGGTGAGGAATGTGTTTTTTTGGGGTTATCGGCAAGCTCAAGTGCGTCGAGAAACAGAGATTGGGAACGAGGTCAATAAGTTCGGTTATTCGTCTTAGAGGTCAGCAAGAGAGTCCAGGTCATCATGTTCTGAGTGGTTCGGTGCGCGCCCCGAAATATTGGCATCTTTGTGCAGAGGCGCTAGCTCGTCGTCGCTTTCTTCCATCGTGGCGGGGTGTGACACGGGACCTGTCTTAGGTTGGTGACGTGAGGCGGCAACGCTGCCCGAGATGTCGTCGTCGTCGTCCTCTTGCGTAGCAGGGGTGTCTGGGATTTGCTGGCCAGGTTCAATGGATTCCCACTCTGGAAACCCCTTTTTGGTGTTTGAGCCAGAGGCTAATGAGCCAAGGCCCGTTTGGGGCTGGTCACGGGGTGACGATGCTGCCTGGACCATGGACCCTTTAGCCTTTGGCTTGGCCTCGGAGGACGCCGCGGTTTGCGAGGGCTCGTCTTCGAGTAGCACTTGGCTAAAGTCCCCATATTCAAGCGTGGCAGGGGCGGCCACAGTGGCGCGATGCTGATAAGGGTGATACTCTGGCAATTGCTGCTGCGGCTTGTGCGCGTGGGTATTCGACGCTGCCCGTCGCAGGCGCTGCACAAAACTGGTCTGGGGCTGGTCTTGTGTTCCATCCGTCGTTGTGTCCAAGTCGACGGGTGTGGCAGGTAGGGGCGACGGTTGCATCGTCATATCAAATGCCTCCTGCGATGCAGATCTTGGGGCTACTGGTGCAAGTCTGCACCCCGTGCAACGATGATGAGCGGTGAAGTTCTAGGACTGGACACGACAAGAACAAGGGCGAACGCAAACAGCCTCGTGAACACGCAAGGTGGGAGGAATAGTTTTGTTCCGAAATGCCCGTGGACTTGCCTCTCGCAGACAGGCTGCAAAACGGCTTCGTGGAGATCCAAAAGGGCTCGCGTGAGCAGCGCACTGTTGTAAACCTTGTCAATGACATTATCACCTCTACACGAAAAAGCGCCCATTATCCATAAAGTCGTGGTAGAAGATACTTCACTTGCACAACATCAGTCTGTCCCCACGCTTACCCTTGGACAGCATGACGGTGAAGTTCTTCCTGAGCAAGTTGACAGGCATTGGGATTGAGGCACCGACGAAGACAGGCAAAAAAAAGGCAAGACCATGTTTGAGCACGAGGGACGGTCTCACGTCGTGAGGAAAAGCAAACCTTGAGCAAAGTCTGGGAAAGTTGCACGAGACCCACGCTCAAAGAGCCACGTGGATGGTCATCAGATTCCACCAAAGGAGCAATCCGAAATGGCACTTCACGGCGTCTACGAGAAAGTTTGTGCCCGTTTGAGGTTGAGCCTTTGTGAAGCGGGTTGAGAGCTTCAATAGCCAGAATACTCACCTCAACTCGCCGGGATCAGTCTGAAAACAGGTCACTTCGACTTGCGCAGTCTGCGGGGCCACGCAATCCACCAACGCGTATGCGTGGGCCTGGAGTCAGGCACTCACGGACCGTGCAGTACCCATCATATCACAAACCTCGTGATTACAGGACACGATGAGACCAAACCAATGGGATGATAGCTGCTGGTAGCTGCGTTGCGTGCGCAGGTCTGAGACCCAGGCCAAAAGTCACACCAGAATGTGAGGAGGGGGAGGAGGAGGGGAGGAGGAGGAAAAAGAACCGTACACCACCGACCCGGACCCAAGCCAGTCGCTGAGCACGAGTTTGGAAAGCTGCAGGCAACACACCGACGTCGGACGGCCAGACGGTCAGCTTTGGGTGTGAGTGATACCAGCCAATGACGGTCACAGAGGAGCCTCGCTCTCGACTCAAGGTCTCAGCCTATGGATGGGGATGGGCAAGAAAGTGTTCAGGACACCAAAGAAGCACGTGGCAGATGGGTCATGCAAACCACAAGGGTTGCTGCTGGCGGGAGATGAGCGCACACACCCATCGGCGAGCCTCATCCTGGGTCTGCGGGGCAATTTCAACGCGGTCTGAAGTGCCTTGATGGCGAATGCCCACAAATAGATCGGTGATCCGAGCGGTGGCGCGAGCGCTACGACGCCCGCCAAGCTCTTCAATCTCTCCAAGAACCAAGCCAGCAATCTCCTCGTGCGCTGGCGGCCATCATCATCACAACAGACCGGTGAGGCGGTGCCGACACGTTTGTTCACTTCCCAGCATGCAGATGCCCGTCCACCCACACCACCACCGCCCCATCAAACTCAAACTCACGTGATGTAAGCGCATGCGTCAGCAGCACCTGATAAGCTGCGCGCGCGCAGCTCACCTCCACCAACATCACCCCACATCCCACCACCCCCTCCTCCTCCGATCTCGACACAAACCAGCAAAACCCGCAAAAAAAAGCTGAAAAATAAAAGTTACACACACACACACACACACACACACACACACACACACACACACACACACACACACACACACACACACACACACACACACACACACACACACACACACACACACACACACACACACACACACACACACACACACACACACACACACACACACAACACACACACACACACACACACACACACACACACACGTTTTCTTTCTTTGAGAGCGACTTTGAGGAGCTCAAACACTTCGACGGGTGCCGCCTGCTCTTCTGCTCTTCTGCTCTTCTGCTCTTCTGCTCTTCTGCTCTTCTGCTCTTCTGCTCTCTCGCTCTGGCGGTGTGGCGGTGAGGGTGTTGGGCAAGAGCGGCTCTTGTTAGGTCGATGCCAAGTGCGAGGACCCCCCCCGCCACTCTTTGTATTGTACGGTTGAAACGACCGCAGTCAGTTTGCGGTGCTGGTACTCAGAAAGTATTGGCGGGCCGATCATCAAGAAGGGTACCAAGGGTAGCAAGCTTGATAGCAGCTGGATCATCGCTGCTGGGCCCTTGCTCAAGCGGCCTGGCTGGGCTGGGGGGCCATTTGTGCTTGACAGTGCGCGCGCGCGCGCCATGGCGCGCTACAGCCTTGGGGCGCGGGGTAAAGTGCAGCCGACATTGCCGACGCGCGGCTTTATGCTCACCCATGGCAGCGATGGTTGGCGCCCCACGCGCCCACTCCTCAACTACGATGGCCGGCACACGGGGGCGCGCGTTTGGTGGATTGCCATTTCCTTCGCCGCCATCACCGGCATCATCATTTGGGCCAGTCATCATGACGGAGACTCCACGGCGACCCGCATCGTCTTACCCAACGACTTTGGAAGCGGGCCCACCTGCGCTGGCCTCAGTGACGCTACAAACCACTATAGTTTGAACTTGGCACACTGCAACTATGCTTTTGCCCTTGAAGAGTGGACTTCGGCTGAAAAGACACCAGACGCAAAGCAAATCCGACTCCTAGACCTGGGAGAGAATCGTCTCCGGGCCATACCCACTGAACTGCCCAACTTTGAAAGGTCAGCCGCTCGTTCGGGTGGACCACGCCTTCCTGCCTGTTCGACATAGTACCGTAACAACATCAGGCGTGCAATTCTGTATCCCCGCCGAGTCGGGTATCTGCCTGCCCCTCCCGATGCCCACAGGCTCAACCCTCACTCCTGCTCTCCACTTCTCCGTCTGCAAATGCGCGCAGCTTGGAAATCCTGTTTCTGAGCAATAACCAGTTTGCCGACGTGCCCGACGTCCATGGTCTGCCTCAATTGCACGTGCTTTCACTTCGCCATAATGCCGTCTCGGTCCTGGATCCATCTCGCCTTCCTACGAGCTTGACACAGCTCATCTTGACAGACAATCAACTTGCGTCGTTGCCAACCGGCCTCAACTACCTTCATTTGCGAAAGCTAATGTTGACTAACAATCAACTAACGACGCTACCCCCGGATTTTGGCGTTCAAACAAAGCTCGAGCTCGTGCGTTTGGCCATGAACAAGATCACTGAGGTGCCCACCTCTTTTTGGGAGGCGCCTGCCCTTACCTGGGTGGGTCTGGCCAGCAATCCCATCCTTGGCCGCTATCGACATCGCCAGCAGCTTGCCTCGGCCATTGACCTAGAGGAACTTTCTTTCGGAACCCTGCTCGGCGAGGGATCATCGGGCCGCGTCTTTGAAAGTCTATGGAACGGCTCACGAGTTGCTGTCAAGCTGTTCAAGAAGACCTCTACTGACGGCAGTTTTCTGGTAGGATATCAAAGACTTGACCTCACATCGACCACACCCTGCTCATCCTCCTCGCCTTGACTCCTTGTCTGGGCTTGGGCTGTTTTTGACGCTCGATGATATCTGATAGGATGAGATGGGGCTAGCAGCTTCCGTTCATCACCCGGGTCTGATTCATATTCATGGGATCGTTCATGGCGGCCCAGAACATGGTATATAGCTCTGGTCCCGTGTGGCCCCGACCTTTGATGACGTGCCAGTCTTGAGACAACATGCTCATCTTCAAATACCACCCACCACCAATGTTCCATGCGTTCTTTCTATAGGCCTCGTCATGGAGATGCTTGATGGTTTCCAACCGTTGGCTCATCCCCCCGACGCCTGGAACACCGTGCGATGCATTTATTCAGAAGGCCAAACGTTTGTCGCCTCGCGCGCCGCATCCTTACTGACTACTGTGGGCCAGGCTCTCCACCACTTGCACGAGAACGGGGTGTGTCTTTCTCATTCCCGCCATTGGGATTGTTTTGCTTCTAGAACATGTCGATAGCTCACAAATTATCAATCTCTTGTGACGTTGCCACTCCATTCTTACTGTTGTACCACTTAGATCATTCACGGTGACTTTTATGCACACAACGTCATGTACAACTCGGTGACTGGTACGTCGACCGCTCCTCTGCTTCCTCTTGACTCATCTCTTTACAAAGCACTGATTATGATTGGTCTTGTGCCTCCTGGCCTTTTGTTTTAGGCGATGTACGACTTGGTGATTTTGGTGCCGCCTGGCGAACTTTTGCGCTTCAGCCTGAGCAGCAAGCGCGTGCACAAGCTTTTGATACGCGGGCATTCTGCCTGCTGATGCAGGCACGTCCCATCGTTTGTGTCCCCCCCCCCTCCCTCTATAATCTCTCTGCTTTATGTCAACTGTGTGTGTCTGATGAGAGCGTGCGACCCCATCACATGACCCTAGGAAGTTACCTCTCGAGTGGTGGACCACGCCGACTGGGCCAGCAGGGCACGTCAAGCAGCTACAAACTGCATTCATGCCCCACCTTCCACGCGAGCTCGTCTTCCCAGTCTGATTGCTGCCTGTAAACTCTTGTAACGTTGACAGCGGCCAAAACGCACGATTGTGGTTTTCTCCTGCTTCCATTGACTGAGGTCTCATTGGTCTGCTGAGCGCAGCCCTTGTGTGCCGAGCCGAACGAGTTTCACGTGAAACATGACGGAAAAAAATTTAGATGAAATAATTATGACTTGCTTGTGGGATTCTCGCCTTTCTTTCCTGTCCCGACAGGCCGTGACTGATGTGCACACCCACGGCCACCAAAAACACATCAGAGGGACATGGGATCAGACCAAGGAAAGGCACAACTATTGTTGAAAACTGAAGCTGAAGAAACAAAAAAATGTCGTCAAATCAGCGACACAGAACAGCAAAAAAAAAAATAAAAAAAAAAATACAGCTTGTACAACCCATCGAGACTTCACGCAAAGCTTCAAGCGTTGCTGTGCGGTTTGCCCCCCATAGCTTCACATTTGCCGCTGAGCGAGACCGAATGCTTCTGTCCCGTGGCCTGCACAACTAAGACGTGGCCCTCTTGGGTGCCAGCTTCGCGAGGGCGGTAATCAACAGGCAACATCACAAAACTCATTGGTCGTAAGGTTACTTGCGCGTGGCGCAACATGAAGGCGGTGCCCAAGGCAACAAAGGTCAACGGCACGGCATCTTCCGTTTCGTTGGAAATCTGGAATTACAACAGCCATGCGTAAGCGAGCCACGTGCGAGCCGAAAAAGCCTTTCAAGAGCGATCGATGACCCACCTTGAGTTCACGCGTGACACTTTGGCCTAGCGAGAGAGTACCAAAGGAGAGGGCCGACGGTGTCACCGAAATTCCAGGTGTGTCAAGATGAGCAGACTTGACGTCCTGTCCAGCGGCCGTTGGTTTGGAGCCCGGACCATCCTCCAGCGCAGATCCCACAAATTCCACGGAACATTTGTATGATTTCTATGTTTTGCACCAACGTTGATTTCACATGAGAATAGGCTCCGGTACAACATCATCAACAACCCTAGCGATGGTAGCAGATGTCTGCTAGATGTCTGCTAGATGTCTGCTAGGACCCAGTCTTGCAAGCACTAGGTGGGGAACAGCATGGGCGCTTGCTGTACCTTTTGCGCCGTGTAGCGCAGGGTCCAGAATTGCGTGGTTTGACCCACGTCACGCCCAAAGAAGGACACGCTAATGTGCCGTGTGGCATGCGGCTCAATCGTGCCGCTGTGTCGTTCAACTGCAAACACGGGTCCAACACCGGCCTTGACAGTGCGCGCGTGGCCCTGCAGCACCGATGAGCCGACATGAGCAAGCACATTGACACCTGCTCTCCAAGGTACAATGAACATTATTGTGGCACATTGCATGCTAAAATTCAATATGCCTGCTTACGTCCAGATAAAGAGACCCATTTGAGTTGAGCAGCCAGGTCACAGAGCTATTGGTGGTATTTTTCAGAGTGACGGTCCGTTCCGCCTTGCGACCAATCAGGATCTGCATGTCCATGCATCCGTTCCGCAAAGGAGAAAACCCAAAAACCCAAACAAACAAGGGTGTGAGCAAACATCCAAGCATGGTGCTCCTAAAGTGATGCGCACACGCCCGGACCGCCTTTGCCAACAAGAGTGCAACTTGAGCACAAACCTCGTCGAATACGAGACGGTTTGGCAGCAATTGCAGGGGCATGCCGTGGTTTGTGGAGGCTGCGGCGAATGAGGTCAATAACCAGGAGCGCAAGTTTGGTGAAACAAAGCGCAAACGCAAAGCAAAGTGCTCGAGCTGTCGCAAGGTCGCGCGGGACTTACGTGCTGGTGTCCAGTGAATGGATGTAACCGGGCCCATGCTGGAGCGTGGACTCTCAAACTGAAGTGCGTCGGTTGGCTCGTGATGTGGGCGAGCTCTTGTGGCATTCGGTGTCAACTTCGCGGTGTCCCGAGCAGAACCATCTCCAGTTGCTGCATCACCACTTGTGTCGCCAATCACGTCCACCGTCACGTCGCGCTGCTCGCCATCAACTAATACGAAGATTTGCTCACGGCGAGGACAAATGTTGCCATCCAGCGGCACCACTCGAACAGCTACTTGCTCACCGGGCTCAACAGTGGCTGAGTCAGGACGGACCCGGATGCCGCGGTTCGAGTATATTAAGCGATAGGTTAGATCTGTCGAGCCCGTATTTCGAACAAAAAAGTTGGTTGTCTCAGACGTGCTACACACGAGCTCGCTAGGTTCGGCTGTCCAGGCACCCTCGGCCATGGAATCTGTATGCAAATGAATCAGCGCAGGTTTAATTGAGAAAATACAATCCAATCCCCAGGAATGGCACTGAGGTGCAGATCAAAGCGAGTCAGGGGATTGACATGGTTTTACATACCGTGAAGCGTGACAGTCGCGTCGCTGCGCGCCGGGCTGGCCTTTTGTGGCGCTGTGGCGGTTGTTGACGGATTCGTTTCCTGCACACCCGGGGAGGTGCTTGGTGACAACGATTCGTAGCCACTAACGGGCCGTGGGCGCCGCGGCGCCGCCGCTTTGGCTCGGAAGCGCACTTTGTTCGAGCGCCGCCGCGAAACAGGCGAATCGTTGACAGCAATGTCCATGCGCACTGGCCGTGGGACAGCACGCGGCGGGCGATGGGCAAGCGACTCTGCGGGTCGGCTCATCCCGCTGGTTGATGGCTGAGCCAGGATGGCAATGCGCAGGCACTTGATGTCTGCCCGGAAGGCTGCGGCGTCCGACTCCCACTCGTGGCGATGAACTTGGTCAGACAGTTCATGGCCTACAAGTTTCTCCTCGTGCAAAAAGTAGCGGTCAAGCTCGCGGGCTGTTGGCCCGTTAAACTCAACGTCCACCTCCCGATCCCGCACCATGTGATGACGCACACGACTACGCAGGACTTCAGTTCCAGTGTAGAGAAGGAGGCTGCCCACAAACAGGGGCTTGCTGCCAGAACCATCTCGAAGGTTTGATTGCTGGCCGTGAGCCATGGGAGCGGTTGCCAAGGCTTTGGCAAGTAGCTCACCAACCTTGAGGCTCACCGTCATGGCGTGCCGGCGTGCTGCACCCACTACCAATGCCTCTGGGTTCAAGGATCCGTGTGTAGTGGAAAGGGTGTTCCCTTGGTGGTCCTGCAAGCTACCAAGTAGAAAGCCGGCTCGGCGGCCGTTGTTACGAAAGACCAGATCCACGGCGACCATGTCATGTGGGTCAAAGTGCTCAAAGAGCAGCGCCATGGATGAGCCACGGTGGGGTGAATCTTCACCATGTAGGAGTCGACACGCTGCTGTGTGGTGTGTGCGATGCAAATCAATCGCAGCGCTCAACACTTGCACGTGTGCCAGGTCACCGATGCCGCGTAGTGGAATCACAAAGCGGCACGCTGGGTGGTCATCGAGCAGGGTCTGGATGCTAAGCCCAGCCCGATACACGGCACGTTCCTGAGGCTCAAATGCCAGGGTCAAGACCAAGTCTTCACCTGGTCGAAGCGTGATGCTTTCCGTGATGTTGTATAGCTGGCCTCCGCTCTGTGCTTGAACCAAACTAAACGCACCGTGTCGGTTCTTCAGCAATCGCAAGCGCAAGGCAATGGCCATGTGATGGAGCGAACGCAGAACGAGGCTGCGCTGGACCAGGTCGCCACTTGGAGCAGCACCAAAGTGTACGTGACTCTCACTTGCCAGCAACTCTGTTACGGTTGGAGGTGAATCTCGGGCGCGATTGCCTTCTCGCATATCACGGCGTGAGTCTTCGGAGGCGCGAGCCCGAATTTCAACGCCCGACCGTTCTATCCGATGCCAAAGCTCCGACCCTGATTCGCTGTGTGGCATTGATTTTTGTGGCCCATTCGGTGTTTGAGGCACCGAGGGCTCGACTGACTTTTGACGTCGCTGCGAAGGCCGAGGAAGGGTCTCCGGGATTGGAAAATCCATCAGACCGTTCAGCGACAACGGTCGGGCCTCGGCCCGAGCCTTTGTATCATCACGGCGCATTTGCACTGCAGTGGGTTCTGATGATTTTGTTGTAGCCTGGGCCACATCGACTTGGCTACCTTCGGCTTGCCGAATGCTTGAGCTGGACAGAGCGCCGGCATCCCCCTCGAAGTAGCCACGCAACGAAGCACTATAGGTGAGGTCTCCGGGCGTCAAACGCAATCGCAGGCGAGCAGCCGCACTTGCAAAGCGGGCATCACCGCGATATGTGACCTTGAGTTCCTGAACGGCCATGGAACCCAGTTCAAACTCTGATGGAGTGACTGAAAAACACTCGAGCCACGGATGAGTGTCGATGGCTGCTTCGGCGTTGGGGTCTTCTTCTGGCACAATGTCGGCCTGGACGCGTGCGGGGATAGAGCTGGCATTGCGCACAGGCAAGCGGCGATGACTAGCCGAGTAGGCGGCCGCTGACAGAACAATAGCTTGCATCACGCGAGGCACCTGCAAGTGAGGACGGCTAACAGCGGCTACCAAGGACACGCTCTCAAATTCAATCTGCTTCGAGTAGGAGGCGGGCAATTGCACCCGTAGACGAGACCGAAACTCCTCGTCAACGGCTGCCGTACTGCCTGAGTAATGCTCGCCAGGCACAGCCCGAAAGCAAACATAGATGGAGCACTGCGCAAGCAACGCAGAGCCAAATGGGCCACTCGCCTGGCTTTGGCTTTGCAGAGTCACCAATAGCTGCGTGGCCGGGCGCGCAACCGTAGCCACGGCACTTTCTGCAGCCTCGCCAATGCACCGACCGCTCGAACCAGTGGCCACAGGGGCGGGCGGCTCAAGGCACAAGAAAAAGGGCGATGGGGCACTCGACTCGGGACTGTCCACACAAATGGCCACAGTGCATTGGGCTCGGCCGGCTGCCCGAACTTGAATTTGATGACAGACCAGTTCGCCAGGCAGAAGGACTCCGAGATCCATGCGCCCACACGGGGTCACGTCGATTTCAGGTTCCTCCGCCACAGCGCGTAGTGTTCGCGTGAGGCGAATGAGGCTGCCCGGCATGGGCTGTCCATCGGAGCGCACCCGCTCTGCCTTCAGGTGTAGGTAAGCACGGAAGGCACCGGCATGATCCGGAGCCACGGTCACTTGCACAGAAGCGCTCTGATGGGGACCAAGTAGCAACGAATCGGGTGTCACGGAGAATGCTGGCTCCGAAGCACTGACTGAATTCTGAAGCAGCAGCCAATGGCTTGTCAGGTTGGAAATATCTACGGCCTGTTGATAAGACCCATATGCCGTGAGGACTCCAAAGTCAACGGCATCAGGCAGCTGAAGTGGGTTTTCCTCCGTGTCGGTGTGCTCGTGGTGTTTGGATGCCAGCAAGCTTTGCTCATGAACTTGCAGCGAGACGTCGTTTCGTTGGACATCTGAGCTCTTACTTGAAGGCAGGGGCCGTCCTGCCGTTTGCAAGGTTGGCATGGCCGAGTCACCAGGCATGGGGGAGGCTTCTGCCAGTCTTCCAGGCGTGGTATCCGAATGAGCAGCCTGCTGGTGAGCTGAGGCTGGTTGGCGGCCGGGTGAAGTGACGGCGTTACAAGGGGCTTGGACGCGATCGTTAATGCTGAGATGACGGCTGGCCGGTGAAGCGCTGGCCGGTGTGGAGCTGGCCTGTGTGGAGCTGGCCGGGGCTTCTTTGCGAAAACTGAGGCTATCGTGCAGTTCAGACGCAGTTGATGCTTCCATGCGCTCAGTTGGCCTGGCAGATGAGCCTTGCGTGCGTGGAAGAATTTTGTAGCCCAGGCCTGGTGTCAAGCCTTCACTAAGCAAGGCAGGCTGCTCAGCTGCAGAAGCTCGACCCGTGCTTGCGGATGCCGTTTCCACAGTGGTGAGATGATCTGGCAGGCGGCGGAAATCGGCTGGAGTGGGCGGTGTGAGAGTTTCATCGACATTGTCCGACCCCTGGTCCTTCTCCTCGCGCGTAGAGTCGACATCTCCGAGCTTGTTAAAGAAAGTTGGCGCACCATGGAAGGCCTGCATGCCCGAGCGGGCGGGTGAGATGGATGAAGCATGCGATGCTATGGCTTCTGAAGCGCCCTGCTGATCATCGTGTTCCACATTGGCGGTTGTTGTCTGGACAGGTCGGCTGGGACCTGACGACGCCTGGCTGCGGCTCAAGTGAGAGGCTTGGAGCTGCGCCTCTATCCGCTCGCGAGTCTGTCCTATGTAAGCGAGAAGATCAGCCTCGGTCTTGTAGAAGCCGTTCATTTGGTCCATACCCGCCTCCATAGCTTCCTCTAGAGTACCATCCGCATCATCTCCACTCAAAAGCTCGTCCACGATTGAGGACTCATCTGGTTCGTTGGGGTAGCCTATATCACAGAATAGGTAAGTCGAACCGGAGCCAAACAGTGTGTGTGTGTTGTGTGTGTGTGTGTGTGTGTGTGTGTGTGTGTGTGTGTGTGTGTGTGTGTGTGTGTGTGTGTGTGTGTGTGTGTGTGTGTGTGTGTGTGTGTGTGTGTGTGTGTGTATGTGTGTGTGAGATGTACAATGATGTACAATGATGACCAACGGCGCTCAAGCCAAGCCGGCTACTTAATCGTACCTTTGGAGCGAGGTGGCGTATCTAGGGCATGTAATGGCCAGTGTTCGCGTGTCACAAAACTGCAAGGGATGTGCGCAACGCCAGGAACCGTGCATCTTAATGAGATTTATACTTTGTGAAGAACGTCATGATGCAAACACATAGCGTCCCGTACCCCTTGCCCCCTATTGGCGTCTCACCTGAGTGCCGCGTCCGACTCGAGAAGAAGACTTTCAAATGCAGGGCCATTTTCAGCCGCCGTCGACCCATGACGCTGCTGCTCGGATACCGCCGGGCTCTGTTTGGTAGGCGTGTCGGCAGCGGGGCTGGACTCGGCTGGATTTGAGTCGTCAAGGACAAGCACACGCTGAGGCGTGTTTATTGGCTCATCAGCAAAGTTGGAATGGTGAGCTTGATTTGGCGATGTCCCATGCAGCATAGATTCTTGAACAAGGTTTGAACCCTTGTCAGGCTGCGCCGGTTTTGATCGCAGCTCGGTCGCTTCACGCTCACGACGTCGCTCCTCTGCATTACTCAAGAGCGGGGTAACGCTCAGAGGCGGGGCGTCTGATCCGGGTCGGCGGCGCACAGGGCCCAGAATGGCGACTGAAAGGTTGTCCAGGCCCGAGACCAGATGGCTTGTACCCGATGACGCAGTTGCGAAGGAGTCATCCTCGTCTTCATCATTGTCAGCGTTGGCATTGTTGGGGGCTTCTTTGTTCTCTGTTGCGGAGAAGTCATCATGATGATTACTGCGATCTTGATCGCGGGTGGCCCGACTCCCACCAACCTTGATCCGGCTCTGGCTCAAGGTACGACCATCATGTTGACCAGTCGGGTGAGGAGCCCTTGTCTGAGTTGGGGTCAAGTCGGAGCTCGGGTTTGTGTGGGTACCCTCGTGATCGCTGCTTGCCGGAGGGCTCACCGCCGAAGTCATATTGAAAGATGTGAGAGTCGACATACTGGTTGATGAGAGTGCAACTCGGCCTAGGCCACTTATTTGTTCGTCCTGGCGTTGAGAGAGGGCGCGTCGGGGCACGCTAGCAACGCGCTGCGCATCGGACACGTGGCGCTCTTCGTGCAAGGAGGCGGAAGCATCGGAGCGATATTGGCTTGACTCCTCCGTGACGGCCGAGAGCTGAGTCACATGTAAAGAGGACTGATATGCACGACCGGCATGATGCCTTGGGGACGCACGGGCAGGTGGGGCAGACGACCTGGGATGGTCTGAGCTCTCGTCAGTCAGAGCGGCATTGTCGACGCAGTCGTTGGCTGTGTCGCTTTGTGCAGGTGCAACCTGTGGAGAGCCCCCTGTTGGTGCCTCATGAGCGGACATGCGTGCAGCTGGTTGGTGGGCCGTGCTAGCAGGTGACTCCCGAAGCAGATGAGATAGAGAGGCCTCAGCATTGCCAGTTGCCTCGGGGCGTAGCAACCCATCAGTGATGTCTGCTTTTGAAATGGCCAACAGGGCAGTCAGGTCTTCGATGCTGCCCAGATCACCATCCATGGCCGAGTGATGCAGCAGGTCTGAGAAGAGTGCGGTCAACTCTTCGCTGGAAGCTGGCAACGCAGGTGCGGATGACGGTAATGTAGACTCGGGCATGGCGGCGGCCCCATTGGTATGAATGGAGCCGTCCAGTGATTCCTCGGCGGTTGCATGACCCCGACTGTTTTGACTGTCCTCCAAAGTGCGCGAGCCTTCCTCTTCTAGGGAGGCATTAAAGGCATGCTCGGCTTGGAAGCGATTTTCATGAGCGCGAAAGCTGTGTAGAGACAAGTTCTTGGGCCCACTCAGGTCTTGGTGGGCCGGCTCGGAATTGGAAGAAGCGTTGAAAATGGTGGTCTCAAGCAATTGGCGCGCAATCCGGCTCGCTTCGCGTGACGTGGGTGTCCGCTGCTCGGAGGCTGCCGCACCAACTTCAGCGCGATCGGAAGGGTTGGAATCGCGTGCAAACTCTGGATACTCGTGCGCGAAGGAGGGTGCTTCGAGCAAGGCACGTATTTCATCATCGTCAATGCCCAAATCTCGCAAGCTCTGCTGCATTTTCCAGGAGGCATGGCTCGTCTCATATGAACTAGTGACAGAAGAGGCGGCCAACAGCGACAAACTTGTGCTGGCGCTGTGCGCCAGTGATTGCGTGCGCTCGTGATTCAAGGAAGCAGGCTATATGACATAGGAGTACGTATGAGTGTGAGTTGCAGGTTTGGCCGAGGAAGCTTCATCACGCGCACACTCATGCCCAAGGGCAGGGGCACATTCATGTTCAAGGGCACGCACACGCTTACACGCACATACACATGGGCACGCACACAAACTGGCAGGCCGTGACAAGCGGGACGAAAGAGCAAAGTCGAGGAATGGCGTACTTTTGCAGTAGGATGGCGACTGTTGCCCAAAGAGCGCGCTGGAGAACTGGGGGCATTGTCATTTGAGTCAGCGCTGAGCGCTGATGGGGGTTGTTGATGGTGACTACGTGAGAGATCATCAAAGGATCCAAACCCGGTGCTGTCGTAGTCGATCCATGGCGGGTTGGACCCGTTGATTGGGTCGCCGTGAAGATCGGTGCCCATGGTCGCACTTGGCGCAATTCGATAGGAGCCGGGCCGGCGCACGATATGTTCCTGCGGCTTGGGATAGTTTGCAATCTCCGTAGGCTACTGCTCCATCCTCTTGTCGATGGAGCAAGATCGCTATCGAAGGTCGGGTGAAGCCCAGCCCACCCCTGAAGCCGCCGGCTGGCAAAATCTCGATTCGCAGCTTCACTGCTTGGATCGTATGACATTCAACCGTCAAACGATCAAGGAGAGCATAGGAAGGCGGCAAAGAAACCCTTGTGAGAGGTCGCGCCAGGGACTCGAACGTGAACGACGCTATTCTGCCACCATTTGCGCCCTGGTCGCCGAAAAAACCTGCTGATCGCTCACCCCAGATTAAAAAAAAAAAAAAAAAAAAGAAGAAGAAGAAGAAGAAGAATTGGGTGGGGGGGGGGGCACTGCGAACATCTGATCGCAACCAAGGCTGCCAACCCAGACACCACAAGACAAGGCCCATCCAGCACATACGCGATCAGAGGTCGCTCAAGGAGACCAGCAGCTGAGCACGCAGTTCAATCCGATGCCCTTTTACCTTTGAGAGAGATTCAAAAAAAAAAAAAAAAATTGAGAGGCAGAGACCGAGATGCAAAACGAACAAAAACAGAGATGGACTTGCGCCGCGACAGGTGTTGGACCTAAAACAAAGGGAAAAACAGACAGCAGCAGAGGTGCAGACCGGACAAATTTGAAACCAGAGAGATGCCATGGAAGAAACAAAATTCAATTTTTGAAACTTTCACCACAATAAAGTGTGTAAACTAGCACACCATATCAATTTATTTTGAGGGACGTGTTATTTATATTGTAGAATGGTTATAAGTGTGATTAAGATGACAGTATCTCTGGCCGCTCATCACAACGCATTTTGGCGAAACAGAAAAAAAAAAAATTTCAATTTTTGCTCGCTCTCCGTGGATGAGGCTGGGGCTGCCTGTACAGGTGCGGCTGGCAGCCGTGCGTCCAATGTTACAAGGCTCCACTGCTGGATTTAGATTCTCGAGGGCCCTGAAAGTTGTCTGGTCTGCGCGGGCCATTAGGCGTTTGGCTTCGGTCGGCGCTCAGGGGCGCATCGCACCAGTTTTGCTCGACACAGTTCGGCGCAAACTTGAAGCATTGTCCAGCAGCCCGACGCACGCACAGCCTGGCCTGCACCGATACCATGGGTTTGTTGTGCCTATGCATTATCATTTGAAGCAACGACAAGCCTGCTCGCCCTCGTGCATGATGTCGGGCTCATTGAACTTATCGTGTGTCGCAGCCATGACGGGGCGTGAAATTTGGCTCAACGCTCTAGCCTCAGGAACCGGTATGATTCCTGCCCTGCTTTGGCTCATCTCTCGCGAAGTTCGACATGGTAATCGGGCTTGAGAGCTCGTTTTTTCTTAAGAAACACATCGCTTTTTATTGCTGCCCTGCCTTCGGCCTACTCCCTACATTAGCACGCATCGATCCACGTCCCGGTGCCCCGCCCTACTCGGGTCGCTCGAACCCTGCTGCAGCCTCTCGCTCACAATATTTAACAGAGGTGTGCCGAACCGCCCACGGCCGTGTACTGCGATGGTCGCGACCCGCCTCTCACCTTGTCTTCCCTCATGATCGCCCGATTTTACCCGTGTAGGTGATGCGCCACGCAAATCGCACCGGAATCGTCGCGGTAAGATTGAGCATCAAGACTCGGGCCGAACCTTGCTCAAAGAACGGCGACGCCTGTTTTTCGCCTTACCACTCACGGCAAAAATGGACTCGCTGTGTCCCGCAATGAAGCATCCTTCTGATCTGCGCAGAAAGTCACGGAGTCGACCGCATCGCCCCGCTTCAGCCTCGGGCGTCCAAACAAGGTACTGCCAAGCTTGCCCATGCCGCGCTCGTACGGTGCCCAATCGTTGGGCAAGCCCAAAAATCTGTCACCCCAAGCTAGTCTGATGACGTTTGCATTGTGCAGGGATAGCGAACGAGACATGCTGGCCCTGAAGGAGCAACAGCAACAAATTCAACAGCAACTCCGCGTGTATGAACACGAAAACAAAGTGCTCAAGGCAAACATCATTCAGCTTGAAACGCAAGCCAAACGCAAGGATCAGGATATTGAAGAACTTTTAGCCACCCACCACAACCTGGAAGGAGCCACGCGTCCGGCCACTGGTAGCACGACCGCCAAGCGAGATCCGGCCGCAGCTCGACAAATTGTGGGGCTGCGCAATCAGCTCAACTTGCTAAAGCGTGATCATCAGACGCTGCAGCGCCGCTATGATCAGGTGAGAGTTTGTTTAGGGCTGCGCAACCAATCCCCGCTTCCACCTGCCCAAGCGCAATCCATCGAGGTTTGATGCATTGCTCATGATTCCATAGCTCTCCTCAAGCGTCAAGGCCGCACGCCTTGATGAGCTGGAGCTGGAAGTGACGCAATATTACAACGAGGTTTTGCGCCTTCGCTACCTCCTGCGGCAGGTAGGCTCGACCCACTTCTTGCCAGCACACGCGTGTCGAAGGGAGACATGAGTTGGCGCCCCACATTCATAGCACCGTCTTCTCCTTAGGCCGGCGGTGACGATGTCACCACGGGGTCCCTCGTGCCAGCTGCATCAGCCGACGATGGAGCATGTACGTACTGCCGCTTTGTTTCATTCCATCTTTCGCGTCACACTTGCCAAGAGCACACGCGCGGCGCGTCTCAGAGCTAATCACGCCGAACATTTTCTGACAGACATCTCATCCAACGTGGTGGAGCTCAAGCGCCTGCAAGACCAATTTGCCGCCGCAACCGTACAAATAGAGGTTTGGCCGGCTGCGTTTGTGCTCATAGTTTTGTTGGTTACTCGTGTCAGTTCATCGCCGCCAATTTTGGACCCCACAGGATTTGAACGCCCGCCTAGAGGTGGCCACTCAACGCGAGGCTACGCTCCTCGAGGATGCTGCCAAGCTTCGTGCTGAGCTAGGTCTGTCGCGCCTTGACTCAATATTCGGCTGGCATGCCCATTTGCGTTTGACCAAGCTCTCTCCTCGAAAGGCCTCACGTTGCACATTCTTTCTGGCCTTTCCTAGGTGGGGATGAGGAGGTCGACTCGGATGACGAGGACGCAGATGTGAAGCGCATGACGCGCAAACAGGCAGTCGCTCAAGCCGCTCGTCAGCGCAAAGCTCATCGTGTATGTCGTGCTCCTTGCGAGCCAGCCGACTGGTTGGCGCGAATATCAAAAGCCCTCACCGACTGAATGTAATGGCCCACTCCTTGGCAGGCCCTGGAAACGGAGCATCAGCAAGTGTCTCGAGACTTGAAAGAAGCTCGAAGCGAGCTCAAGACACTACGCCGCAACTTGGAGCGACTTCAAGACGGTGCGCTGACCACTACTCGCCTCCCACCTGCGATTTGTATTTTGTATTGTGCACCCAGACCAGACCTTCCAACTGACAAAGCTTGAGAAGATAATGGGCCGTGACATGTCTGCGCTTTGAAACACAGAGCAAAGCCACACCGGAAGCAGCTTGCAAGAGTCGCGCAAGCACACCGATTCCTACAAGGATCAGGTCGCCAGTCTACAAGCCACTGTTCAGGAGATGTCTCAAACGAATGCCAGGCTGCAAGACCAGCTTGTTGCTGCGCTGAACAAATCGGCTGCCCCGCCCGACTTTGAGGCGCAGCTGGCCCCATTGTTTGAAAAGCACAATGCAGAGCTTCGGTCGCGCTTAAAACGGGTATGTACTCGCTGCCATATGCTTGGCTCGGTGAAGAGACAAGAAAAAGCAATTACGTCTCTCCCTCTCAGACTCGCTGTGTATCGCTCCACCTGATGATTATTTGACCGCAGCTGGATGACATCGACCATCGATTGCAAGAGCACACTGATACGTTACGGCAGGAGTTTGGCCAGGTTCATGCTCAGGCACAAGCCCAGACCAAAGAGCTTGATCAGTACGTGGTGCCTTGACAGTGTTATCGACCTCTAGCAAACAGCCTCTCAACATCTCTATTGGATTGCCTTGCAGGGTGGCGGAAGCGCTACCGCAACAGATTGAAGCAGCCGTGAAGCTGCAGTCCAATTGGCGTCGTTATCGTGCGCAAAAGGAAGTCAAGGTAAATGAACCGCGAATTCTCTTGTTTCTGTTTTTGGCCCCGGGCTCACCTGCTGATCGTGACCGCCTACCAGCAACTGCGTTTGTCCCGAGAAGAGAAGAATCAGCGAATTGCTCAACTTCAAGCTGGTACGAGACTATACTACCCCGCGTGCGCTCCGTGCAGCCATTCGATGTTGCCACAAACTCACCACGCGCCTGTGCTTGCTGTTAACAAAATATGCAGTCTTGCGGGGGCACTTGGCGCGTGTCCAACTGCTGCGAGATCTCCAGGAGCGCGCATGGCGGCAGAGGGGTACCGTCAAACGAGACGATCAGCCAGACATGACAGTCTCGCGCTCTTCCCCCCGGCGGCCCGCCGCGTCCCGTGGAGCCTCAAGTCCGGACCGCCGGTCTGATGGCGTGCTCAGCCCCTCCGTATTGAGCAGGAGTGCCCTCGATGACTCGGCCCCTTTGTCAGATAGTGAAATTGGTGCCATGGCCGAAGTCCTTGAGCTGAGTGACGATGATGAGTTTTAGTTTGCTCTCATTATTGACTCGTGACTATTGACTATTGACTATTGAATTGTGCTATTGATCGGGCTGTGCAACAAAATGAGTGCGGGTCAATCGGGTAATGTGCATTGACATGTGCATATATGACTCTTGGCAGGGTGTTCGTCGTGTTTGTTGTCATAAATTGCCTTGACGGTGCTCTCAATTCACATGCCACACACACACACACACACACACACACACACACACACAGAGTTACCACAGGGTCTCAAGACGAGTGCTACTATACCAGACCGAGAATGCCGTCACGAAGAAGCAGACGTTGCGAACAACGGTGCGCTTGAGGTCATCGCTGAAAAAGGTCGGATTTTTGCCCACAAACCAGTCAAAACGACGAAACAGTAGGTGGGGGTCGCGACGCAAAAAATGACCGACAACACGACCCATTTCACTGCAGTTGCGTGTGATTGTTGCAGGGACCAATGCCCGAACACGGGGCCAGACGCCAGGCACCATATCATGATACAATCCGCGGTCAAAGGACCATGGAAAGCCAAAAGCAAAGCAAACAGCACTGAGCAACTCGCCACCCACCAATCCACCACCCACGGCCAGGGCGCCGCGCAACATCGTGCTTGTCCCAGGGAACGGTGCCAGGTCTCGAACAAGTGACATGCTTTCAGGCAGCCACTGTAGCATGCCAAGGCAGATTGCGGAGGTGGAAAGAAGCACCAGCCACTCGGAGGGGTTAGGAGCCATCCACCAACAGTGCTGGGGCCAGAGTGCAATCAATGCGCCGTCTCCACGCGCCCAGCCGAAGAAGCGATCAAATCGAGGATGCCCATCATTCCACCAAGGATGCGTGGCCTTGGCCTTGGGCACCGATAGCAAATCAGCACCGCACCACATGAGACAATAGTCAATATCTTCGCCACCGCCAGTCTTGGGGAACAAGTCGCGAAAGCGCGCAGTTGGTACGCGTTTGCACGCCATGTTGGCGGTAACGGCCCAAGGCATGGTTTGCATGTACGTGGCCGCATCCCAGAAGTAAGTCACGCCGGCAAGACGAATGCCCAAGCAGCGGATGGACTTTGTGGCTGGAAAACAGGTCGGACCAACAAAGCCTGTTTGCTCAGGATGCTCCAAAAAAGCGCGGCAGTAGGCCTCGAGCAGCCCTGCTGACACCTGAACATCGTCATCCAAAAATATAATGTAGTCGGCCGATGACTCCTGCAGACCTCGATTGCGAGCGGCGGCCGCCCCCGTGTTCACGGGTTGCGCACGGATGCGGTAGCGCCAGTCATGCCCAAACTTGGCTTCAAGCGCCTCGAGCTCACGTTGAATCTTTTCACGAGGTTGATCAGCGATGAGGACAAAGCCCACGTCTATCTTCTTGGCCAGCTCCGGGTCGCGAATGTGCTGAGTCAGCAGTGGTACCAAAAACTGGGGATCGACGCGAAAGCTGGCCACCACAATATCCACCAGAACGCGAGGTTGGCGATCCTCACTCGAGACACCCTGTGCCTCCAACCAGGAAAGAACGCGCTGCCGGCCCTCTGTCAAAGGGGCATCAGTCCAGTCGCCACTACGTGTCTTGACATAGCGGGCGTCATCGGATCCACCAATGTCGTTGCTGAGCCGTGCGTCAGCCAGCATCTCGCACGCTTGCCAAGGCCGATAGAGCTGGAAGAGATAAGGGTCACCGTCCTGGTTGATGAAAAAGTCGGGCAAGATCTCGCCCCCAAAAATCTCCATGTGGGTACGGCTAACGACGGGGAATGTGGGAAAGCCTGGGAAGCTCACATCATCAAAGGCCACACAGCCAAACCCGAGGGGCAAGTTCGTGTCACGGGCCATGTCCTCAAACTTGTTCACAATGGCCGTTACCCAGCCGGGGGTGAGGATCCGAACGTCATCGCCCAAGAGTAAGAAGTGAGTCGCACCGAGATCGTAGGCTTGACGAGCCAGGGCCGTCCAGTAGTGACAGATGGCACCCGGGGCGTATTTGGAGAGGGACTGCACAACGACAACACCCTCCATTGGAAGCACCTCATTCAAGCGCCGGCACAGACGCTCACGACCATCGCGATGCAACCCAACTTCCGCATCATCGTCGTCAAGACCCAAAATGATCATGATGTGCTTTGCATGTGGATCTCCGGCCAACGTGCGGCACAAGTGCATGACCCACGTTTCAATGCGGGCCCAGAACTCGCGTGGCTCGGCGCCACGAGAGGTGATGGGAAGCAAGATGGCAAACTTGGTGTGGCTGTCAGTGGCCTCGTGACGCTGTGAGGTAGTCCAGACTTTGAGCAGTGTGGCCTCTTGATCTGTGGCTGCCTGCGCCAACTGGCTGGCCAGTTGTTCATCCATCCAGTTGGCGGTAGCTTGGAGTCCATCTTGAAGAGCGACACTGGGCCTCCAGTCCAGCAGCTTTTGGGCCCGAGCCCCGTCACAGCTCCGACCACGGACGCCCTGTGGGCCAGCGACATCAAAGACCAGCTCGACGTTGCTCTCGATGCCACGAAGCGACAAGCAGAGGTTTGCCAGACCTGCGACGCTAATGACCTCGGACGAGCCAACGTTGACAATCGTGGGGTCGTTGGGCCTCTCTTGGGCGTATTGTCCCAACTTCAAAAGGGCCTGCACGCAATCACTGACGTAGAGGTAGGTGCGAGTTTGCTGGCCATCGCCCCACAACTCCAAGGGCAACGGCAGTGCTGGGTTGGGGGAATCCTTGAGCTGGCGCCACAGCGCCCATGATTTGCGCAGCAGCGCGGCCGGCGCTTTTTCGCGACCACCTTGAAAGGTACCAAAAGGCCCGTACACGTTGTGAAGACGTGCGATTCCCAAGCGCGAGATGCAAGCCTTGAGAATCTCTTCGCCGCGTAGCTTTTCTCGGCCGTATTCGTCTTGGGGTTGAGCTGGATAGGCCTGGTCTTCCTGAAGGCAGATGGCCTCGGGGCTGGCCTGCAAGGTCTCAGGATAGACGCACGCAGAGGACGTATAAACAACGGTGCACTCTGGCATGTGGTGTGCGATGCCGGCCAGATTTGTGGTCATCTTTCCGTTATGCAGAGCAATTGCGGCGTCGTTTTCTTGATCCCCAATGAACCCCATGCCACCTAGAGCAGTCAGATTGATAGCACGGTAACACAAACCAAGACAGTGCAGATGAGATGCCGGTCATGCCGAGGGACGAAGGCAACCAATGAAAACACGAACACACCCATGTCGGCGCCTAGGTGGAAGATAAACTTGGGTTGAATCTGCTTGATCTTTTCGCGCAGGGCCGATTCGTCGGTGGCATCAAGCAGATGAACCGCGACACCCTGGGCGGCCTGATCGCGAAAGGCAGATCGTTGAATATCAATGCACTCAACATGAGCCCCGAGCTCGGCTAGCTCGGCACAGAGGTGGCCGCCGATGAACCCAGCGCCACCAATGACCAAAACCACCTCATCTTTATAGGTAGAAAAACCCATTATGTATGTAGCGGTAAGTTGGCAGGGGGGATGGCAGTACGGATGGCAAGACAAGGTATGCAAAGGAGCAGGGATATGTTCGGGCTAGAGATGTCCGACCGTAAATGCGACTCGCACGCATCCAGACATGATACATGCCTTTGGCCCTCAGGGCAATAGCGGGAGTACGTCAATGCTTCCTTGTGGCATTCTGCTTGTTGTATTGGCAAGGGAATACTCGTCTGTATGTTGTATTGGCAAGGGAATAGGCGTGAGATCGCGCTAGCTTCTTGAGAGGGCGAAGCCTTCTCATGAGCGTATTCGAGCACGTTCTGCAACGAGCTGTCCCCCCGTTTCGTATCGAGAAGCCATCCCCTGCCCCCATCTTGGCCAAAGTTGGCTCGTTTAGGCTGGCATCAGCGCCAACTGCAAAGTCCCGCTGGTTCATCTGACCGTACTGGACACTGTCGATCACCAGCTAGGCAAAACCAGCCTTGAGCTGGGCCAACCTAGCCACCCCTGCACCCTGAGCTACATGCTTTGATTTTTTTTTATCTTCGCTACCTCCCACTCCCTCTGTTCGTGTGATCGTTAGAAAAAAGGTCCCCTCTTCTCATGAGAGCATTCCCATACACCGCGCACTCCTTCCTTCTCGTGGGTTCTTCCCCATCTTCCTCGTTTCTAGACCCCATCCCATGCCACCCGATCCCACACTGAGCTCACGTGCCACATCACATGAGCACTTCAACCTCGCCGCCCTTGCCACTGCTGTGACCACTTTTTTGCCACTCCTCACACCCATGTCGTGAGCCACACCCCCCCTCCTCTCTCTCTCTCGCTCTCCTTTTTTTTTTTTTTTTCTCATGAGCTCACTCTCTCAATTCTCGCGAGCTGAAGACCCATTACTGCGGACATCGCTTCTTGAAAGAACAACGTCCACGTCAGCTGACAGCCTCAATATTAGAGGATGAAGTTCATGGTCTCTAATTTTAAGCCAAATCATCTGACAAGCGAAACGGTTTTTTTTTTCTCTCTCTCTTTTTTTTTTTTTTTGTTTCCGAGTGTGTGAAGGCTGCTTGCTCGATCCGACCGCTTGGAAGCTACATTCACATCAACGCTGCCATGGCCGATGAGGATCTGGAGACTGCTGCCGTGTTGCCGAGGGGCTTACAGGGGGAGCAGCCCACGCCGACCACACCATTGGCCCAGCTGACCGGAAGCGTCAGCAGCTTCTTTCCCTCAACTCCTGGCATGACGCCCTCGTACCAACAACCAGCCGTGCACCCGCCCCCTGCCGCTGCTGCTAGCAGTGCTCTCCAAGGCCCTGGCCTGATAGGTGCTCCGGTGTCGGCTACGCGTCGACGAACCTCTGATAGCCTACCAACAACGCCTCGTATTTTAACGCGATCCCATCTCACTCAACAAACCTTGAACAGCTACAATGCCATGTACTCACCAGGTATGTCGGGGCCTGAAGTTGTTCCTTCTGGCTCAGACTGCAGCTGTCTCACATTGGCAACTGTCAAAACTAAATAGTGGCGGGCATGTCGCCGTTGGCGAGCCGACGTGGAGTGCCACCACCAAACTTCTCCCCCTCCCAGTTGTTTAGCTACAATGCTACTGCGCTCCCGCCATCCTTCCTGGAGCGGCAATCCTACCAATCCCCCTCACCGTATGTACACGACAAAAATGGGTGCATAGCCCAAACAAGCAGAATGACACCTTTTTCCATCCCAGCATCCCCATTCTTTGGGCCTCGCCGTCCTTTTCCTCATTTTTTTTTGTTTCGGCGACAGATTCCGCGGCCGCTCTCGGGTAGCAAGCTTGCGCAAGGAACAACGCGCAGGCGGACCTGCTCCTGTCGCTCATGAACCTGCACTTGACCCTTCCACCCTCGTGCCGCCGTCCTCACCTGGCGCCACGACAGCTTTGCCTGGCACGAGCTCGGTGGCCGTCGCCAGCGGTGGCCGGACGGTGAGCCCTGGTCGACCCCGCTGTTCTCCACGACTGCCTTGTCTTTCTCCACTGCATCCTCACCTGCTCTTCCATGGTCTCTCCAACTGCGTGCGGAACATTAGTGTAATTGCAAGAACAGCAAGTGCTTGAAATTGTATTGCGAGTGCTTCGCCAATGGCGAATACTGCGGCCCCAATTGCAACTGTGTGTCCTGCGGCAATCGCGAGGCCACAGAAACACTTCGCAAGCAAGCCATCGAGGTGACCTTGGCCAAAAATCCAGATGCCTTTCGTCCCAAGTTTGGTGCCAATAAGGTATGGGCGGCTCATATCCCAAACCTTTATCCCAGGCCTTGCTGTTGAGGATTTATGTCCCTCTCGCTATGATGCACCTCCTTAATGCCATCTTAAGTGACGCAGCGTGAGCAAGAGCAAACCTTCAAGGTCTCTTGCCCATGCCAAGCGTTGCCAGTGCCCCTGGAAACTCATTGGCATTTTGCTTGATTTGACCCTATTAGAGTCGACAAAGCGCTGCGCCCAGCGCGCATGTCAAAGGATGTCGCTGTGCACGTTCCAAGTGCATCAAACGCTATTGTGAATGCTTCCAGGTAGCTTTTGTTTTTCTTCTTCCTTCCTTCCTTCCTTCCTTCCTTCCTTCCTTCCTTCCTTCCTTCCCTCCCTCCTTCCTTCCTTCCCCGGCTTAATTTGTAGCCACAAGTCATGCGTGCCGCGTGTGCTCGTTGGTTCTGCGAATGCTCTCTAGGCGGGTATACCGTGCACCTCGGCGTGCCAGTGCCGAGACTGCCACAACCGTGGCGACTCGTGCGCTAGCCACGGCAGTGCTGCAACCACAGCCTCAACAGCTGCGCCGAACAGCAGTACGAGTGGACCATCTGGTGCAGGACCACCTGCGGCTACTCCGACCAGTGCCACCCCTGGAACCACCGTAGCTGAGCTTGCGCCACCGCCACCGTTGGCAAAGGACGTGCAGCTGCACCACCGTGGCGTCATCCAACTCCTCAGCGCCAAAAACATTGGCCTTCTAGCCCGCAACATGCTTGAGCGGCTCTTAGAGCATCGCGACCAGCCGGACCAAGGCCACACGGAAGTTCTTTCGTAGGTCCTTGCCCTAATCTATTCGCCTTGGACTGAGCCCCCTGCTTCCTACCCGACTGCCCACCTGATGATGAACTGCACGATGCATCATGATCTCAGATTGACGCGACAAGGTCTCACAACGGTAATGGAGTGTATGACTAAAACGGATCAAGAGGCTTTGCCGACCAGTTTTGTGGCGAGCGGCGCTCCAGGTTCGATGACAAGCAAGAAGGAGCACTTCTCCGGCCGTCAACCTATTGAAGCTTTTGTTTTGAGCCTCACTATCTCTCGCCCCTCCGTAGGTGCCAAACGTGTCAAACGCTGAGATGCAAGCTTAGTGCTAACCCCTGGTCACCCACATGCACGCACACCTTCCGCACTCTCTGAGGCCAAGTCAATCCAGCTCTCGAATGAGGTGTCAGCTCAAGGAGGACACAAGATGGAAGCAACTTCAAATTATTCTCGGAGATTGCATTCTGGTTTGCGGAGAAGCCATCAGCTGAGCTGAGGCGCGCAATTGATGAATCAACACAGCACACGGCGTCCAAATTGGATGCCGCTTGTCACTCTCCATGCACAAGATGCCACTTGCGACCCAAACTCCGGGGCAGGCTGAGATGGCAGGAAGATGATGATGCGAAGCTCTGCTTCTGATCGAGTTGTTGGTCTCGTTTCACCCTCCCATCTCCTCTGTGCGTGAATGGAAGAACCGGCATAAAGCCTACTTGAGCCACAGCTTGAGACGAAGGGCATCCTGGCCACCTAGGTAGTAGCGGTTTAAAAACTTGTCTCGGACAAAACCTAGGGATTCGTAAAGGCGAATGGCACCGCTGTTTACAATTTCCGTCTCCAGCACAATCTATCAACGGGAGGGGGAGGGGGAGGGGTCCAGTGTCAGTGCAGCGACTCGCTGGCAACACGGGGAAGGGCCTGAAGAAACGAATGGGGCATGTGTTGAGCCACATGATCTGTTAAACCGGGCAGACCGACCTCATCAGCTTCCATGTTTCGCATTGTCTCCAGGGCTTGCCGCGTCAGGGCAGAGCCTGCCCATTTGATATGGGTGATGTAGGGACGTGGGACAACACCAGAATGAGCTTGTTCACCACGAAAACGGCGCACGGCGCTCGAAGCCAAAGCATGAGACCCACCTATGCCCCGCTTGCGATAGTCCTTGTCCACGGCAAGCATGCCAATGTAGCCACGCAAGGTCCCGCTTTTGTGGTGGGTTAAGCGACAGATGACGACACCAACCATGCGATCACCATCATAGGCCTACATGGATATGAGGGAAGGCAGGAAGAGCAAGGCCAGGCGGGGAAAAAAAGTCAAACGACCGTTTGCAAGCGCATGTGGCCGATGCCGATCAGACTCAAGCTCATGCGGCACAGCGAGTCTCTACCAAATGGCAAAGCTGGGGCCAGTTGCGAATGAAATAGAGGTAAGTAAAGGCACTGTAGGGCTCTGACAGATCGTGCTCAATGAGCTCGGTCAGCCGTCCGAGCTCAGCCTCATCAGCAAAGGGCCGGTACTCGATTGTCCCTGCCATCCTGCTGTTGCTGTTATCGGTCATCGATAAATCTACACCACACATGCGGACGGATAGCCAACCAAGACCGGGTCAGTGGAGGGCGTCCGGCTTGACACGACACCTATCAAACCCTGCCACCCCTGCGTGCCGCAGCAGCACCTTGATACCTCCTCACCGAGCTGTTCTGCCGCCGTGCGACTCGACTGCATACTACCTCTTTAAACTAAACATGATACCCTCTACTTTTGTGTACTTTCTCACTCACACACACACACACACACACACATACGCAAAACCCACATAAAGTCGTCGAATCAGAGAGAGAGAGAGGGAGAGAGAGAGAGAGGCAAAAGCAAGCACCACACATACGTATCATGGGCCAAGGTGGATATAGTGGAACCCCACCACACCCGACATACGCGTCCTTTTTGTTGTCCGCTTGGACAAGTCGTGACCCTATCAACCGGGATACGGCAGCGTCATTCGGGTGGGACGTGAGGCTGAAGCCAGCTGGAGATACGCGGGGTCGTTGTTGACGTTGTGGCCGTGCCTGTGTTCATACCATTGAACTAAACACGGGCTTCCCATCACACCACAGACACGTCCAGCGCATCTATAGCCGGTGTTGGGCTCTGGTGTATTTTACTTGATCTGCTGGCAAGTCGAGTTCGTCGTCGGTCGGTTGAACCGGCCCGTCGTCGGCTCAGACAGACTCGCGCGCATTGCTTTCCTTGATGCAGGCCACAAAGGTCTTGCACGAAGTCGTTGTGCACGCACAATAATCACAAGACACGGATTAGGCGAGATTAGGTCAGGGTGAGACTGCCGCGTATCGGGGTGGTGTCGTGCACGCCTTGCGCACGCCAGATACCTGCCTCGGTGTGATCGCCATCCCAGATCAATATCATGGCGAGTCGCAGGCCCGCAACCATGGTTGAAGGGAACGAGTACGAGGCCGCACCACAGGTGCGTGCACAGCACCACTCAACCTACGTTCGGCATGGCCTCACGGCCCAGGATCAGAAAATCTACGAGCCAATGCAAGACATGCAGACCCCCGAAAGCTCACAACAGTTGAGTTCCCTCCAAGATGTAGCTACCAATGACCAGGGCCCTGAACTTCCTCCCTGCGTCATCCTCTCCAACGTCACGGGTTATGCCGCCTTTCTCAATGGCACTTATCACCGCCTCGTCAATTGCTCTTTCGACAAGCGGTGAGTCCCCCCGGCTACACCTGACCTCGGTACAAACACTTGCCAACCGTACAGTTTTCGCAGAGTCACATCTCATATCGCGGTCGTGGGCCATGGCAACCATGGCAGTGCGGTCTATCGACTCCAGGGAACGGTGCCTCACAGTGCAACCGCAGCCCCCAGCGACTTCCTTTACTTGTACTACAAGCATCGCCAGGCTGCTTGGGCCATTGGCTTGAAAATCGGGTCCTCGGGTGTGCTTGCCTATCGCAAGACCGAAGCTTTGGACCCCGTCGTGGGTGACTCCCATTGGATGCTCTCCGATGTGGACGGAAAGTTTAGGCGCGAAACCCAGGTGACACTTGTGGCCGCTAATGGCCTTACTATCACGGGCTCGCCCGAAGAGCTCAACTGTGCCTCTGCAACCGCGATGCCCATGGGCTGTCTCCCAATGGACGTTTCGCGAGGCCGTTCTGAGCGTCTTTTGAAACGTGCCATGGATGAAGGCGCGAGTCCCGGTACGGATTCTGCGCCTGCACCGGCTTTGTCCCTCTGCCAGCCGACGCCCTGTGAACCACGTGGCTTGCATGAGGAGCACCAACAGACTAATATGTCAACCAACTGCCAACGCTCGACCTGCACCCGCCTCCCTCTGATAGGAAGCTACGTCATCCGTGCCTCAACCAGCACTCCCAACGCGTACATTCTCAGCGCCATTGATGAGCAACGGCATATCGTTCACGTGCGCATCGACGAGAAGAACGGTTTTCATCTGGGTCAATGGAGTGCGCCGACTGTTCCAGAGTTGATTGACTGCATGCAGGGACGCGTCTTTCTCACGGCCAGCGGCGAGCGCGTGCCGCCCCTTAAGAAACAGCTGATGCCCGCAGATTTTGGCATGTAAGCCCTACTTTTAGGTCGTCGCAGGGAGACGCTATGCCTTGATGTCAACGGAGTGCTTCTTGGTCTCCCTGACCTCCTCGGCATGTTTGTCCCTCCTCGGCTAGCTCATTCAGCGTAAGCGAAGAGACCTAAAAGACATCCTCATGTTGCTATGAAAAAAATCCGGATATGAAAAAGGCTGCGCCGAACACCAAAAATTCAAACCAAAGTCAATTAATATAAACTCGTCAACTTCAAGCCTCTCGTGGCTTCGTCTGTGCCAAAAAATGTGTAATGTGAGCGTGTGTGGGCGCGCGGGGACAGCAAGGCATGCCATGGTATCATCAGAGCGAGTGTCATACATGAAATATTTTTTCCAGTCACAAAAAAAAAAACAAGAGGGGCTCGGGTGGGGCGCTGATGGTGCTTCGTTGGGAAGCTAACCATTCAGCGACATGGCATCGTGCGAACCGACTCATCCCACCGCGGCGTATACAAATATCTTCATCGGAAACAAACACACCGTTGAGAAGAAAACATGAACCGCGGGGCTAAGCTTGCTTTTGCAACACCAACAACGCTGTGAGTTGGTCTGAATCAAGGCGGGCATCAGCTTGAACGTTAATGTCGTACGAAAAATCGTGAAAAGACAACAGTTGCAGCGCCGGCACGGCCTGTAAGGTGGCCAACAGCTGTTCCAGATCGTAGGTTCGCATCTGCCAATGGCAATGAAAGCGCCGCCCCTGATACTTGGACAAGGCTGGAGGTATGGGCGGGGCCTCGGGTGAAGTGTCTGCCTTCACTTCAATAAACGTATCGACCTCTTCTCGACGCGTCACCGGGCAGGGTGGAGATGAAAGAATCTTCGCATCGATGCAAAGACCCTCACGTAGCTCGCGCCAGCGCTCACGTTCGCCCTGCTCAGCGTAGTACTCGTAGTCAACCAAGTGCATGCCAATAATGTACAGCCCGCCCGGTCGCAGCGCTGCTGCCACTAGCTCCAAGTGCCGCACAGCTTCATCCTCGGTCAAAAGATACTTGAAGGAGGAGACCATGCAGTGCGCCACGTCGTACTCGGCGTTTCCCATCTCATCTTTGGCCATATCTCCCAGCTGGAGCTGTCCGGTCAGTCCATGTTGGGTGAGCCGCTCACGACAAAACTCCAATGCCGTGGCACTGGCATCGACTCCGGCTACGTGGTGACCATGCTCAGCCAGCGCCAGCATGAGACGGCCCGTACCGCAGCCCGGCTCCAGAATGTCGTAAGGCCCCTGCACGCGGCTTGTGCAGAAGAGGGCCGCCGCGCCCTCAATAAACGCCGCCTCCTTGGCTGTGTCGGTCTGAAAAATGACATCATACAAGAGCAAGTGCTCACGTAGCCAATCAAAGTCTTCAAATGTCTCCGGCTCTGCCACCGAGCTCACCTCGCTCTCTGCCTCGCTCTCCTCCCCTTGCACCCCTTCAAGCACACCAACCCCTCTACCCCCCTCATCAACTCCAACCTCCTCCCCCGCCCCCTCCTCCCCCATCTCCCCCCTCATGGTTGCGACGAAAGGATCCAAATCCTAAAATGACGAATACAGTGACCATATCTAATTATCCAACAATAAAGTGTGATTAATGTGTTACTATCGCATGTCAAGCGCAGGGCCACGAGGCCGCTGACTCTATTTTGCAGCTCGCAACTTGTGTGTGCGTGTCGGCGTACGGACGTGCGTGCGTGCGGAGATCTGGCAGTCGGGTTTGGGGTCTTGTTGAGAGGCTCTGGGTTTTTGGGACAGGCTTTGAACCTGGTTTTTTGAACCAAGGTTACAATGGCGGCTGGCAAAGCCAAGAAGATGGCCAGGAGCCCGAATAGCAAAGCTAAGCAGGCCAAGCCAGCTCAGTCGAGCTCGGCGACCGAGCAGCGACCTGACCAGAATGAGGAGCTGGCCTTGGATGAAGTTTTGGCCTTGGGTGGCACGCAGGTAGGCTTACACCCAGTCGTCTGCGCTTTCCTGCCTCGGTGACCTCACCCCACGACCCCCTTGTGCGCTTTGGCAACCTTTTCTTCCTTCTGGTCCTTCACTTTGCTACCCTTGCCTCTCTCTGCCTCTCTCTCTCTCTCTCTCTCTCCTCCTCCTCCTCCTCCTCTCCTCCTCGTTTCTCCCTCGACATAGGAGGATTATGACTGGCTGTTGCAGGCTGGCTCAGCAGGCTCTGCTAGTGCAACCAACAATGACCAGTCGTTCGACGCAAGCGAGGTGCGCCCCGACGGTGGTGTCTAGGATCCGGCCAGCCAAGCACTCCAGCCTAGATGCTGATTCTTTGGCTTTAGGGGGGAAGGTTCCTCCCTTCGGCAATCGCGCTCACCCCCTTTTTTTCCCTATTTTCTATACATGATTGCTGCTCAGGTCCAGAGCTTTTGGAAGAATCTCGGCTTTGATAAGCTGAAACCCCAAGACAGTGCTTTGCCCGACGCAGTTGCCGAGGCTGAAGATGAGGTCCAAGATGCTGCTATGGACTCCGATGAAGAGGATGAGGAGGACGATGAGGGTGACGCGGAGGACGAGCAAGAAGTCGGAACTGCAACGCGCAAGGGTGATAACCCAGAGCACGCTGCGCTGCGTGCAGGGCTCAATCAACTCTTGGCCAAGGGCCTCGCAGGCGCGGACGGCGACGATGAGGAGGAAGATGAAGAGGACGATGAAGCCTTGGATTTGGTGCTCAAGGAGGAGGAAGCTCCAGCTCCCGCCGTAGCCACCCATCTCCAACGCGATGACGCTATGGAGGCCAAGTACGGCAGCATTAAGCTGCTGCAGCCTCCCGCTCGCAAGGGTCTTATCATCGACGGTATTGAGGCGTGGCACGCCATTCTCGACAAGTCGGGCGCAGACGCACCTGATGCCTTGCTGCAAACCACCAGCTCTACTACCTTCATCCCACCCCACATTCTCAAAGAGATTCTGGCGTATGCTCAGACTATCATGAATATGGAATCAGCCACAGCCGAAGCTCGTAAGCCGCCGTACCCCTTGCCGCATCGCAAACCTTGACAGGAGCATAGCGCAGTTGCATTCGTGGACTGCGCTTTCAACTCTCACCCCTTGCATCATGACTTGTCATGCACGTTGCCGATGGGGCACAGGCGAGGGCATGAAGCGCAACTCTGACTTGTCGTGGTTGAAGGAGGTCATGACATCGGGTACGCTTGCCGATCGTCAAGCCGCGCTGGTGACCCGCATCCAAGAGGACCCCGTGCACCACGTTCGCGAGTTGGACACGCTCATGGGCATGCTTGCCAAAAAGTCTCGACGCGAGGCTCTGTCCGCTGCTGGTACGCCTAGCTAAGCTCTTAAACATGTTGGTCGCCATGTCGCGCGCTTGCCGCGATGCTGTGAAGAGGCCTCACTCTTTGTCATGTACACCATGCACCTTATTATTTCACAAAAAAAAAAAAAAAAAAAAAAAAATAGATTCGCTTTACGAGGCTTTCACGACAGCGCTACTTATTCCAAACCGCAAGCTGGTGGCTGCCGATCGCCGCCCCTGGTTTCAGCTGCTTGAACGCGGTCTGGGCTCGGGCAAGAGCTCGGGCAAGGGTGTGGACCGCATCGTACTCCTGTGGTTTTTTGAGGACCTCATCAAGCGCAAGTATTTGACCTTTGTTCAGCGCCTCCAAGATCTGGTCAACGACTCTCAGCTGCCCATCCGTAGCAAGATTCTGGGCATGATCTTTGATCTCTTGCGCACGCACAGCGAGCAGGAGAAGGTATGCGCCATCCGCCCCACCCACGTGTTTGAACACAGTCTTACTCGAAAGGAGTGTCCATTCACGCCTGGTAGTTTGCCCACCTTGCTCACCCAGTCGTTTCTGTTCCTCTGTTGTTTTGGGCGTGCTGCTCTGCTCAGATTTTGCTCACCAGCTTGGTCTCCAAGTTGCAAGACGCCGAGCGCAAACTGGCCTCAAAGGCGGGCCATTTTCTGCACTTGCTCATGCAACAATACCCGCTCATGAAATCTATCGTGGCTCGGGAAGTCAAGGCTGTCCTGTTCAAGCCCAGCACAAAAGTTCGTGGCCAGTACTATGCCATGAACGTGCTTAATCAGATCGAGTTGAGCCGCAAGCATGATCAAAGCCTTGCCAACGAGCTCTTGGATATTTACTTCACATTTTTCAAGGTCTGTTTCATGCTGAATGTGGGGTCACCGACGCCCCAACCTTTGTTTTCTCCAGTCTTCTCTCTTGTTACTCTTTCACTCTACACCTCACCGTACCCTTGCTGGTTGCTGTCATATACCAGGAGCGCTTTGCTAAACACGCCACCGGTAGCGATGACGAGGAAGATGACCATAGTCGGCTTTTGGCAGCCCTGCTCACGGGCATCAATCGCGCCTACCCCTTCGGCAACCTGGACGCTGAGGTTTGTCACTCCCTCCACGCCCCAGTTGACCCATCGGATCACCTTCACTTGTCCACCCACTTGGCCTGGCGACACAATCCCCTCACCTCCGGCCGCTCAACAGAAAATTCAATTCTATGCAGACGACCTCTTCCGCATGTGCCACGTGGGCTCCTTCAACTGCAGCATCCAGGCCCTCAACCTGCTCTTCCAATTTATGGACTCACACCAAGCTGTGTCGGACCGTTTCTACCGTACACTTTATGCAACCCTACTCGATACGCGCTTGCCCAAGAGTTCGAAAAAGGCCATGTACCTCAATCTGCTCTTTCGCGCGCTCAAAAATGACCCCATGGTCTCACGGTACGTGGCTCTGCATGAAGAACAAACATTTTAGGTCTTTTTGAGGCAACAGCGGAGACTCACCGTGTGGCTGGTTCTTTTTTGCTCGTTCAGACTCAAGGCGTTTGTCAAACGTTTGATGCAAACGGCCATGACTATGAATGCCGCATTCATGTCCTCGGCGCTGGTCATCTTTGCTGCGGTACGCATCGAACCTGGCCGTTATTCTACCATGGAAGGAGGGTGGTAGTTGTTTGATTGTTTTTTTGTTGTTGTTTTTTCTGTGTGTGAGTGTATGTGTGTATGTGTGTTTTGCTTTGTTTTGTTCGGTTTTCTTGACCTCAGACTGGCCGCTCTGTCTTCCCTATTTGGCCCACATTGTGCTTTTGACGGGGCTCTTTCTTGACTCACGCCCGGTTTTGGGCCACGTGCAGCTTGTCAAGGAAAAGCCATCGCTCCGCACCTTGTTGGAAGCGGAAGTCGACGATGATAGCGATGATGAACGACTTGGCGACCGGTTGTCGGATGATGACACCCAAACCGTCGTATCCAGCACGACTGCCGTCAACGGTGACGAGGGGCAGCAAGAAGAAGCAGAAGAAGAAGAAGAAGAAGAAGAAGAAGAAGAAGGACCCGAAAGCAACGCCGCTTTTCCTCACAGCAATTTTGTGGCCCCAGAGCAACGGCAGACCCTTCGCCGACAGTCAGGTTTGTGTACCCGCTCTGTTTTCGGACACGATGTGCACTCTTGTCACCTCTTCGTGTGCTCACAAGTAGCCATATTCGGACCTCACTCACATCTCACACCGTCGTGTCCTAACAGGCTATGACCCTCTCAAGCGTGAACCCTTGTATGCCGGTGCTGAACTCTCGTCTCTCTGGGAGCTCGCCTTGGTACGCATCAGATATACAAAGTCACCTGTTTCCAACTGCAGTGCAGCTCACGTGCGACTTGGAAAATTGTGGCTGCTCGCCCGTCCATAGGCGCAAAACCACTTTCATCCGACCGTCACCGCTTTTGCTGATAAGACTCTGCGTGGCCTAAAACTCGACTACAACGGCGACCCACTTCAGGACATGACCTTGATCAAGTCAGTGTCACCTATCAACCCCGTGCGGGGGTTGCGACTTGCAGCATGTTGGTTGGGTTGACAGGATGTGCAATGGCTGATTGCGCACGCGGGTCTTTTTGTCTTTCCCACTTGATAGATTCTTGGATCGCTTTGTCAACAAACAGCCTAAGAAGGTCAAGGATGGCCGCAACGTGTCGATTATGCAGCCGCTGAGTGCTCTTGACAAGCAACAGGGCCAAAAGTTGATCAAGGCCGAGGAACTCCTTCAGAAATCCTTGAATGAGGTTGCCCCCGAGGACAGATTTCTTTATCAGTACGTCCCGATTATTCTTTCATGTCAGTTGGCCAAGGCATCACATCCTGCCTCACCGTTTGCGCCATCCATAGCTTTTATCAGATGAAGGGCGTGCACGGACGCGCCAAGCGCAGCAAGGGACCAATGGATGAGTTTTTGCTCGACGCCCTGGAGCCCGAAGAGCGAGATTTTGCTGCGTATGTCTCTTCATGGCTGCACCACGCGACGGCCGCGTGTATCCCCTTGATCCTCAAGGATTTATTTTTTTTTTTTTCCGTTGCCATTCTTCTCATATCTCTGTCTGTCTGGATGCACGTAGCGCTTTCGGTGTCAAGGGCACTGGTGAGGATGAGGAGGAGGATGAAGACTTTGATGACATCGACGATGATGACGAGAACGAGAATGACGATGAGGAGGAAGCAGAGGATGAGTTCTCTCGTGCGAAGAGTATGCCCGAGTCCGCTGCGTTGGACCTTGACGCATACCGAGCAGCGCAGAAGGAACAAGGCGCTGATGCCAGTGATGACGAGTATCTCTACGACTACGACGATTTGCCAGGGCTCGATGATGACGGTGTGTTGATTGATTAGGCTTGACGCCAGATCTCACTGCTTCATCTTGGTCCCATTCCCATTGATTCCCTCTTGCGATTTCAACGACTCTTTTTCTTGACTTTTCTTTCTCTTTTTCTTTCTCTCTTTTTTATTATTATTTTAGGCCTAGTCGAGGACCCTGTGGAAGGTGCTGAGGATGAGGCCGATGATGATGCTTTGGAGGCGCAGATGGAAGCTGACCTCTTGCGTGAATTTGATGACGACAGTGATTTGGATGACGATGATGATGCCTTTGGTGATGACGACGATGAAGACGATGGTGGAGCCGCAGAGGGTTCGTCAGGAGCATCCATGTTTGCCTCGGCAGATGAGTTTGCTCAGCTCTTGGAAGACGACGATCGAGGCCAGCTGGCACAGGAGCGTGTACAAAAATTGCGCGAGCAAGTGCTCGGTAGTCGTGCGCGCCGCGGCAAACGCCCCGGAGGAGGAAGTGCCGGTGGCAGTGGTGGTAGCGCTGGTCACGGCCGTGCCAAGCGTAGCGCCAACTCCAAGGCATCGGGGGGTGGTAAGCGGGCTAAGCGTGGCGGTCGCAAATAGGCCCAAGCGACATCTTGTTTGTCTGGCCAGGCAGAGGCTACCATTTCCTTCAGTTGTGTGTGCATTGGGGCTGGAGGCCTGCAGCAGCGCTGCAAGGCGATTCCGCACCTCCAATGACGTCGACACCCTATTCTTTGCGTGTCGCATGAAGAGACTATGACGTTGCCGTGCGTTTCTTCCCCGACCCCGTTGCAGTCGTTTGATAATTGACATGGTGCGTTGTTGTCCAAGCTTTTGCTTCCTGTTTGTTTCTCTACTGCAGCCATCTGTCGCCTTTGCTCAAAGGAAAATCGATGACCATGCAAAATGATGTGATGCGATGATGATGGTGATTTAACGGCTTCTGATATTCAAAAAAAATACAAACGCATCATCATGACCTATCGATTTGCAAATTGATCCTACTTGCGCCTGAACGAGGTACGAAGCAGCTACACGCAGCGCCACACTACTGGCGAGTTGAGCCATGCCGCTGCAGCCATGCTTCACACTTTTGGCGCGTGCTCTCTTTATCGGTCTCGGCGGCGGCGCGCTCCACCCGCTTGACTTGATTGACGCGATCTGCACACTTGATGGCCGTCTTGAATGCCTCCCGCAGCTGACCAATGTCGATCAAGGCCGTAATCTTGGCCTCGGCATTGAGCATTTGGCTGATGTAGGTCTGCGCGACATGGCTTTCTGAGGCTCCCATGAAGATCTGATAACACCGCGACAGGATGGCGTCCCAAACAACCTCATTGTCGCGCACGCCTGCCCCTTCCATACTGCGGAGAAGATCGTTCAATCGCACATTCTGTGCGTATTCCCATAGAGACGCGATGCGATCAAGGGCCACATGAGATTAACTGAACCGACACTTCCACTACACTCCCTTCACTCCCTTCACGCTCCGCCTCGAAGCAACCCCGAGCCTTGCGCCCCTGACCAGTTGCAACGACAACGCCGGAATCTACCGGCAACAGACAGACACAACATGCAACCCACCTCGTGCAAACGAGCCAGCTCGGCGCAGGCGGCCTCGTAAACTTGGTGCGCGTCGAGCTTCCCCAATTCAATGAGGCGATAAACACGGGCAAACGCTTGCTCCATGTCATCGCCGCGTACCAGCAACAGGACACACGCTTGCTGGAGCTCAGACGAGCTGTTTCCAAAGACGGATGGCGCCCTGATTACCTGGGCGCCAGATTCCTCACATAAATTCATCAACTGTTCCTGTAACTGCGTCTTAAACAAACAGTCGTGCAGGTCAGCCTCTCGGTGTCGAAAATGATCACCTCGAAAGCGTCGGTCCGCACGGCGACTTCGTTCCCGTTCCAGCGCCTGTTCAAAGCACTGCTGCGCTTTCTTTATCATGTCCAGGCGGTCTTTTCGGCGCACAGACTGCGAGGCCGTCGAGCCACCAGCACCAGCAGAGGCCACTTCGGCACTTGGGCCAATGGCCAGGTCGATATAGGTCAGAGCTGCGCCAACCAAATCCCCCAAGAATTGCTGCACACGCAAAAGTGTGTGATTGCACCCTTGCTTGCGCAGAAAGATGCAGCACGCCGTCAGGTAGCCCTTCCAGTCGTCCATGTAAGGATCGGTAGCTTCGAGTGCAGGAAATAGGCGGTCCTCGGCCACACCACGATGCAGGCATGGCATAAATACGCGGCTTACAAAAACCTCCTGGTCCACCTTGAGATCCATTGTCTTGCTCACCGCCAGCTCAATCATGTCGTGGCGGATCAAGAAGCTTAAAAGTCGATCGTGCGTCGAGTATGTCTCTAGATAGTAAAGCGCTTCAAAAAAGCGCTCGCTATCCAACGTTGACGCCATGCTCACTTTGCCCGTGCGCAACGCGTTGACGGCATACTTGTCGTCGCGCGCCAGGCGTTGGGCCCGCTCGCGGGGCCGGAGAGCCTTGAGCTCTAGCAGTTGGTGGTGCAGAAAGGCAATGTCGTCCAATGAAGGCGTTGGCGTCGCCTCAATAGCCTTGACAATGGCAGAAATCCAAGTGTCTGAGTGGCTGGGCGATTTGAAGGCCTTTGCAAATTTGTCTCGGGCAGCTTCGAACGACCGCGAGCGCAAGTGTGATAAACCCCACGACGCCCACACGTGAACTTGATCCAGCTACGCGCCATCAAAAACGACCATACGCCAAAGGCAAGCAGGGATGAGAATAGTTCAGAGCAAAGGCGAAAATTTCATGGTGCTAGCTGTACCCACAAATAGTCGACCAAGGTCCTTCCTTTCTGCCCTGACTCCGCCACTCTTACCACATAAACACACACACACACACACACACACACACACACACACACACACACACACACACACACACACACACACACACACACACACACACACACACACACACAACTGCCTTGACGACTGTCTGGTCCTTGCGAGGAAACATAGTGCTGACCTGACAGCGCGTCGAGACCTCGAGGGCCAGTTCGTATTGGTTGCCTTCGCACAGCCGATCTCGCAGCTTCTTCGCGCGATCGGTGCGAGAGAGCTCGCGCAGCGACATAAGACTCTGACGCCCCTGTGGATGGCGACACAAGGCTTCCAGTAGATCACAGTAGCCTTTGTATGCCTCACACATTTGTACGTGGCGCGAGTCTCCAGCTTCAGCAAAGTGAATTTTGGCGTGCAACAGAAGTCGCTCAATGCTATTGATGACCACAAAGGGGTCAACGTCGGCGTCGCTAAGGTGGCTCGACAAGTCGCTGCTCATGCTCAGGCACCAGTGGGCAGCCTGCAATGGGTCGGGCATCAGGGCAATCATGCTCAGAGCTAGTGACGAATTCGGGGCGTCCTCAAAGTGAAAGTTTTGACGAAGAATGGCGTGACTTTGGATATCATGGGCCACAAGCGCACGATATGCGTTGGTGTTCGACCATGAGTCCCGATCAGCGCGGTCGGCCCCCTCCATAATGCCTTGAGACGGTGTGTGAGCTGACGTGAGCTCCAATGCCTTGCGGGCATACAAGGCCGGGAGCGTGGCGTGCAAGGCAGCGGCGTCTGCGGCTGCACTGTTGGTGCCGTCTGTGGCTGCAACAGTAGGCAAACCGTACACGTTGGTCAGTGGCCGGGCATGATGACTACGGCCTGTTGAGGAACGAGAACGCGTCTGGCCCTGGCCAAGATCTTCAGGTGTGAGATATTCGGTCCCATCCAATTTGAGAATGGCCGTTTGCTTGTTTGTGGGCAGGCTAGCCAGGCAATGCGCTGCGGCATCCACATTGGCGTGCATCAAAAGATCCTCGATGATGCGGCTTGGATTGTAAGAGAAAGGCATCAGCGCCGTCCGCAGGTCGTCTGGTAGTCGCTGCAACATGTCAATACCATCCGCTTTTGACCGGTAGCGCTCAACCTCATTCGGCGTCAACGATTGCGCGTGCTCCAGCAGAAATGACAAAAGAAAGCGCTCGCCGCTGCTCTGCGTTACGGCCACACCGGCCGAAGCCTGGGCTCCAAGTTCATCTTCACCGTGCAGCAAGACCAAGCGCTTGCAGATGCCCAAGGCATCACCAAGGGGAAGTTGGTCCAAAATACGTTGTGCTGCGTAAATGGCATTCGTTTTCATCAGGAGCGCCACGTAGTTGGTATCGATGTCTGTCTCTTCCAGCCCATGAAAACGGGCCCATGAGCGGGCCAAATCAAAAGCCTGTGCCCAAACCAGTGCCCGCACGACCTGGTCAGGTTGCTGCCGCGTGGCATCGTACACAGCTTGCCAAGTTTCGAATTTGTCTGACGCTTCTTGCTTGACACGCATGCAAATCATCACGTCCTCGATCACGCGATCCAACTCGCGCCGAGTACGATCAAAGGCCGGGGCAGGGTGGTGCGGGTCATTGGCCGTGACCGCGGAGCCATCTTGTTGGGCCCCGAGAGCCTCCGCTTCAGACTGGGACCGGGAATCTGGTGCTGGCTGCTCCGCTGCCACTGCTTTCGACTCGTCACTGACGGGCGAGTTATTTTGACTCGAGGCCGAGGGCACTGATGCATGTCGGTCCATCTGATAGCGTGCAGTTTTGAGGAAGGAAATAACCAAGCTATCGCTCACTGTCCGAAAGGTTTCTAGCGCATGTTGGGCGGCCAGCAGTCCGCTCGAGAAACACCTGCAGCTCACGCAACAAACCAATAAAATTCAAGTGTGAGGTGCCTTAACAGCAATTCAGACAAAAACGAGACCCAACGGCTTCGATGCCCAAGCGTCCACGACTCCGGCCGAGGATGCGGGGCAGAAAGAGGAAAAGGGGTGGATGCGATAAAAAAAAAAGGCAAGTGGGGTAAACATTCACTACGACGCACCCTAGAAGATGCAGGCGACTTACCCTAGAAGATGCAGGCGACTTAAATCATTGGTACTCTTGCGGTAGGCACGAGCCACGACAGCATCGTCCAGTGGGGCACAAAGCAGTACGCCCTCAGCAACCAACATGACGGCAAGGTGCTCGTCGCTGCTCTGCACCATGCGCTCCACCAGGCGATGAGAGAGAAAGCGGCGCTCGGGAGTATCTTCATGCGTGAGGAGGATGACCAAGTGCTCATGCGTGAAAGGCTTGCGCAAATGCTTGCGCGCCAAACGTAGTTTGGCGTATCGCAATTCCAGCCAGTGATGCAAGGGCATAAGCCCCACCAGCGCGGGTGATTGCAGATAAGCATCATAGGCCTCAATCAAATGATCTCCATCCTGGTATTCATCAATGTCCTTGACGAAGAGGCGCAACACTAACGCCAGGGCCGGATGAACCTCGCCTACCAAAGCCAAGGACTGCTCAATGATGGTGCGATCGATAGGGAAGTTGACGTCATCGGCATCGTGCGTCGTCTGGCCCGCCAGCTCGCGCAAAACGCGCGTGTGAAGTGCTTGGTCCAGCCCAAGCTCAGCACCGGCGAAATCTTTGGCATCAAGGTCTTGTGGAGGTATAACCGTCATGCCCGGTAGCAGTAAACTATCTTCCAGCTCTAGGGTGGGCTGCACGCCGTCATCCGTCAACAGTCGATGCTGGCGACAGCCCGCTGGCAGGTGTTGGCGACAATACTCGGCCAGTGGGGCAATGTCGGTTTGAGCATCCAGATCATCGACATCGGTTGCGTCCAAGAGATGCCGTGCATGCTCCAGCAGAAAGTGAGGCAGAATCAAACGCCGGCGCCCTTTGGCTTTGACGCTGCGCCGCAAGAATGAGGAGCGCGCTGTCAGCAAAACGTCTGTCATGGTGTTGGACTGCAACGGCACGGGGGCGGGTGAAGCCAGGTGACCCTGCCAAAGACTAAACACCAAATTGCGGGGCAAGCGCTCTGTACGCAGATAATCTGGCCCGGTACTGGTCCCCGCACCCAAGAGCAGTTGCTCCAGTTGCAACAAGGATACGACATGCTTTGACCCGAGTTCATACTGGACCTTGGCACTCCACTGATCTCGCACTGCCCAGCCCTCCGGGGGTCCGAGCAACAGGCAAGCGTGCAGACGTAGCAAATTGTAAATGTTCACAAGAACGCAGACCTTGTCGTTGGGATCCAGGAGAGCGAGGTCAACTTGACGCAGGAGTGCGGTGCGTTGATGAAGGCGTTGAAAGGCTGCCGTTGTGCTGATTTGCTGACAGAAGCTGCGACTGAACAGCAGCGCTGAGGTCATGCCCTGGGCTCCAACGTGGGGGCGCACCAAGAATAAGAACTCTTCCAACAGCTCATAGACAACGTCAATCTTATCTTGATTGGTATCGTTGCGTCCAGAATCTGAGACGGGACCGACATTGGCCGCTGGGACGGTCGTCGCCGCCGTCGCTGTCGCCGTGGTGGTTTGAGTCACTGCCGCCGTCGCATCTGCGGCGTTTAGAATCGTGGCCCTGGTTGAAGTTACGAGGGGTGGTGGTCGTAGGCTCGGGGCTGCGCCAGCAGCGGTGGTGGTGAGAGGAATGGCCACGCACAACGCTTTTTGAATGAGGCAAGGCACGGGTAAATCCACGGCGCGAGCTACAATCGCAGCCTCGCTCACGAGGTCGGCATTGCCGCTGCAAAACATCTGCAGCAAAAGTCGCGCAGGACTGATTGAAAGCAGTCGGATTGTGTCTGGATTCTCGGGTGTCAAACTGTTCAGAGCGTTGGCCTGGGAAATGAAGGCATTGACAAACGAGTGGGGTGTCAGGGCCGCGTACTGGACACGCAGCTCCTCAAGAGCTGAAGTGATGCCACGTTCATCGTCAACGTTGCGCTCAAGCGGGCCCATGAGAGAGACCTGATCTTCGCTGATTTGTCGAGCTTCGGCCGTAGCTTCGGCAGTGGTGTCCAGAGCAACCAGTGCATCCTGACGGGCAATCTGACATTGATCGGTCAGTCCACGACGAGTGCGATTGGCGCTGGCGTCGAGCGGTGCAGGTTGGCTCCGTAACAGCTGAACAACGGGCATCTTTCCGGCACTAAAAATTTCCATGAGTTGAGCCACAATCCATTTGCTGTGGGCAGGAACTTCGGTTGAGCTCTCACTGATGACACTGGCACGCTTGAGAAGCGTGTGACAGGCGTCGGCAGTCATGGCAGCGGTAGCAGCCAGGTCTAAACAGATAGTCACGGCCACGTCGGAGGTCACCTCACGTAAAAGGTCACTCAGGTCGCTCTCAAAAGAAGCACCACGTCCCAGGCGACTGGCAATGTGCTCAATGGGCTCACCCAAGCGCGCATCCTGTTCAAGGGCCCCACTCAAGGCATACTGGCCTACGACCTTGAGTGCGTCTGCAAAGCGGTGCTGGCGAATGCATGAGGCGGCAATGGCCTCCGGCATACTCAGCACCTGCTCCGCAGGGCGTCGCGCAAAGGCTTCGCGGCTCTGAAGCAGTTCAAAGCGCCAATTATACTCGCGCAACTGCTGTTCGAGGTCATTGCGTCGCCGGACGTAGTTGTCGGCAGACACTGAAAGAGCTAGGGTAGCGTGCCACTGATCGTATGAGACGGGCAAGGCCGTCGCAGCAGCCAGCAGCATGGGACAGAGGTCCTCCATCACGAGGGCGGAGATGAGAAAGGGCGAGGCAGAATCATGGCTGTCTGTTTCTGGCGGCGCACCCTGGGGCAAATGCGCTCGCTGAAGGAAAAGAAGAGCATATAGTTGCTCCAAGACTTCAAGTTTGAGAGGAGTGTCTTCCATGTCGCCCAACAAATCATGTAGGCGGCTCAAGGCTGCCGAGATAATGACGTGTTGCCAATCCGAGTCGTGCTTGATGTGGGGGGGTGGTGAGCGCCAACCGGCACCAACCAAAACGGCGTAAAGAGCGTGGCGCACCACCGACACGGCGCGAAATATGGCCACGTCTTGGTCACGGCGCGCTTGGCCGGCCTTATTTGCTACGGGACGCTGACGCAGCTGTGCCAGAAGCTTGTCATCGCGCACATGATCCCAGACCAAGAGCTGGGCACAGTGCTCGAGGTCGCGAAAGCCCAGAACTGCATCGACATCGGCAAGCAGGCTGGACTGTATCCGGGTTAGAAGTTGGGTGGGGGCTTTACTAGCCGGGGCTGCCCCGTGTTCGAGCGCACGGCGCCGTTCCGCTAGAAGAAAACCAACAAACTCAACCTGATGCTGAAGGGCCGTCAAAAAGGTGTGCAATGCTACCCCGTCCTCTGTGCTGGTTGGAGTCCACATGCTAAGCACTCCGCGCATGGCTGCCAGGTCATGTTTACCCAGTGGTGGCAGGGCATCCAGGCAATGGAGCGCAGCTACCGGCAGCACGTCGCGCAAATGGTGCGTGGCTAGAATGGCGGCAAAGTCATCGGCCTGCATGCCAGACGCTGCAGCACGCAGTGCGTGTAAAAGAGCATCAAACCAGGAGCGCTCTTGATAGCGAGTGACAGCCATGATTTGCTCGCGAAGCACGGGCTGAGTAAACCACTGCAAGGTCTGCTCAGGCGTCAACTGCTGAGTTGCTTTGGCTAGACGGGTCAAGAACAGCCCCTGCCACTTTTTAAGCAAAAAAGCGTTGTGGTGGCTGAGGCAGGCCATGTAGACCTGATCCACAAGCACAGCTTGAGCTTGCTCGGGTTGATCGATCCAGGCTTGAATGATGGTATTGGCAACATGTGAGAGAAAGGTGTGCAGAGCGTTGACCATAGAATCATCAGTGTCCGTGTCTGTGGCTTCGACCAAGGCCAAGCGACGAACGCTCTGCTCTGGTGTGCTGGCCAGTTGGGCGTCAAGTGCATTCAACTGAGCCGTCAGAAGCCGGGTGCGTAGGGCTTCCTCCCCGCGCGTTGCCGTTTCCTGAATCAACAGCGGTCCGGCTATGGCAGTAGCGACCAAGCTAGCGAGCTCAAAATTACGGTTGAAGAGGTCACAGAGCTCGTTCTTGGCCTGTGTTGCTAACGGCTTCTTTTCGGCTTTGTCGGTTCCGTGTAAGTGGCGCCAATACTGCTCTACCTCCTGTCGTGCAGCCCAAATTTTTAAATGTGCATGAGGAACAGTCAAAGATCAGTTGCTCCGAGCATGCAGAGTGAGCGCAACGCATTGCAAGACCTGAACAGCTTGGGTCGACATGAGCGTGGCCATTTCTTGCAACAGCATGGCAAAGCGCAAATGCGGGGTGACACCCTCATCGACGGGTTCCTAATATAAGGCAAGGCGCAGGTGAGCATGGAGGAGATACCACGGCGGGCCGGGATCAGCGCCTGCCCAGGGAAAACGAGCCCAGTAGACCTACTTTTGTGCCGGCCAGAAGCTGAAGACCCAGCCATTGCAAATGGGGCAAAGATTTGACGCCTTGTGGTCGAAACAAGCTGTATTCATATTCACGGTGAGAGTCGAATGCAAGATGAGCCTGGGTGGTCTGAGACCCGGTTTGTCGACACGAGGAGTGATACATGACGGAAGAGGAAGGGGAGAAGAAGGATTCAGATCAAAAAGTGCGCACCATGCAATCGCATCGGGCTGCGCAATCAATCGCAAGAGTTGGTCGCGACCCAGCGCAGGATCATGGCGCAAAAGCTGCCGGGCAGCCTCAATGAACTGCAAGCCATCGCCAACACGTAAGTAATTGATGGCAAGTTGCAAGAGGTACGCTGCAGGTTGTCGAATGGAAGTATAGGGGGCATAGTGGGCCTCATAGGCTGCGGGGACTGCCATGGTTCTGGGCTGCAATCGATCGATTGCTCAGCGTTGCCCGACTAAGAACAAGCACTGCATGCCTAGTATCACAACGCGAAGTATTGTTGCGCAGGTGAGGGGGCATAGTCTTTGTGAGAGAGAGAGAAAAAAAAAGAGTAAAGGAGCAGAAAAAACCACTGTAGTTGCAATCCTTTCAACACACCATTGCTCGGTCAACAGGGGCACTGCCGTGTCATTGATCCCAAGTTCACTGCCGCCCACCCCTCCCATCCAGAGGAAAGCAAAGAACAGCCCGATGGTCGCTTCTCTCTCTGTACATCAAAATAAAATGCAGCCAAGACATCAGGATGATCCGTGTCGTGCCAAAGCGCGCTGGCAGTCACACAAATGCCATGCGGTGGCAAGCAAAAGCACATCCATTCATGCCGGCACGTAGGCTGCACGGTGAGACACAAATCAAGCGGCGCTGCCCTTACCGCTCGCACTGAGGCGCAAACAGCTCCAGAAAAAGAAAATCAACTGGTCACGCTGTGTGTCTGGTTCATATAGACACATGTTCACAACAGTTGTGCTTCTCGTCTGTTTGTCAGCAGGTCCCCGCGCCAAAATTCAAAAAGATCCTCCACAAGAAGAGAGAGAGAGAAAATTTGAAAATTTTTATCTCTCACCTGGATGAGCAGTTGAGGCTCCCCCCCTCGCCTAGTCATTTTGCCCACCAACGAACGCCTGCAGCATCAATACTGCACTTTGAATCTTTCAATTGCTGTGCTGGTGCTGGTGCTGGTGCTTGATGGTGCCTACCTCTGACTGATCTGACCCTTGAGAACTCAATCAAACAGGGTGACTGCCGTGTGGTGTAGTGACTAATTTTATTAAACACTCTGCCCTCAGTAAACGTCCGCGTCGTGACGCCATATGATTGTTTGTTGTTTTATGCCCTCTTCTTCCGTATCATTTGATTTCGATCACCCATTTTGCACACGATGGCAGCCTTTCCACGGGCACCACGCTTTCGCGACGAGAACGTCTTCACTGGTGGCCAGATGGCCATGCACAAGGTGGATGCGGGTGCACTTCGGCCCAACAGCCAAAGACGCGAGGCTGTGCCAAGTCATTTCAGCGCCAACACACATCTTGGAGCCCCGCGTGCGGTGTCTCCTGCTTTGTCCAGCAGCAGTGGAGGCGGCCCGACACACCGCGAGCCCTTTCCCCGTTCCACGAGTTTGCGTCAAGGCAAGGGCTCCTTCACGGAAGGGCGTATGGAGAGCGACTACATCCACCAACTGAAGAGCCAGATTGAGTATTTGACGCTGGAAGTGCAGTTTCTGCGCCATCAGCTGCGCGATCAGCAAGGCCTGCAAACCAAACTTGGTGAGCAAGATGAAGCCCGACTGGCAGCGGAGGAGGAGCTGTCCGTGTGTCGAGAGGCCTTGGAGGCAGAACGCAACAGCCTACGCGAAGTCGAAACTCAGCTTGAACACAAGGATGAACTGCTTCGCCAGGTGCAGGCGGCGCTAGATGCTGCGCGTGTTGAGCATCACCAACAGAAACAAGCCCTGATTGAGCGCCACGCGCAAGCCGGCAAGGAGGTGGAGGTGCTGCGTGAGGACCTGGCTGCGCGTGATAGCCAGCTCGAGCGCTTGCGAGGCGAGTACGGGGCAGCCGTTCGCTCAATCAATGAAGCTCGCGGTCAAGGTCGCGCGGCGGAGAGCGAGGCTAGCCATTGGCGCGACGAATGCCAACAGTTGCAGGAGTCTTTGGCAGCTCGTGCCGAGGATCAGATTGAACTACAAGCCACCATTGCTGATTTGCGACACCGATTGTCGACGTACGAGCAGGCTCAACGCCCGCGCTCGGGGGATGGAGAATCGGCCAACGGCGAGGAGGAAGAAGATGAGCGGTACGAGCTACATCTGCGACTGAAGCAGAGCACGTTGCACGTGGAGCAGCTGCAGGCCACGCGGCAACAACAGGACAGTGCGTTGCAACAAGTGATCAATGAAAACGCCAAGTTGACCAGTCGCTGCTCCAGTACCGTCAAGCAGCTACAGCAGAGCCAACGTGAGGCGGCTGAACTCAAAACGCGCATGCTTGATCTCGAACGGCGCCTGGCTCGAGCGGAATCCGATCGCGAGCACGAACGGGCTGCAAGCAATCGGCGTAGCGGCACGGGTGATCGCGATGAATTGAGCCGCATCAAGGGTGAAGTCTACGGCCTCCAGCGCCAGGTGGCCGCGTTGGAAACGCGCGCAGAAGCAGCGGAACAGGATGCCCACGGAGCTCGCGAGGATTTAACGCAGCTGAAGGCCCGTTTGGACCAGGAGCGCTCGGATAACACATCGCTGCGCCAGGAGCGCGCCGTCTTGCTGGAGCATGTCCAGGAGCTGGAAGCCGTGCAACAAGTCAATGTGACCGAGTCGCATGACCTGGCCGAGGAAAAACGACAGCTGCTCTTGCGCATTCGCGGTGAGTTGTCGGACCGTGCTAACATGGAGTTGGTTTCATTGGGCCTGTTAATTGGCTTGATCATGACAATCGCACGGTGTCCCTGGTGGTTTGAATGACTCGATTTGAACGCGTTACACGGGCCCGATCCTGTTGTCAGCTCACAGTACATGATCTTGCTCTGAATGATCCGCAGAACTGGAGCGCTCCCTCAACTTTTACCAGCGCATCAATGCCATCCGCTGGCAAGATCTGGAACAGATGGCCTCGGCCGTTCGTGATCTGACGCACGACATGCAAGGTCGAGATCAATCATATGCCGCCTCGGACGATGGCGATGCTGCTCCCCGCACGGCTGTACGCGACTCATGAGCCCTCTCGTCTTGAAGGGCCACGTCCCACCCCTCCTTTTTTTTTTGTTTGTTGTTTTATTCTTTCGAGTGGGCGTCTATGAGTTGTCACATAATATCAGCAGCGATGAGTCTGCGTAGCAGAGACGAGAGAGAGAGAGAGAGAGAGAGAAAGAGAAAGAGAGAGAGAGAGAGAGAGAGAGAAGAGACGAGACGATGATCATGATGGAGGAGGTGATCCCCCACCAGAGCCAGAGTGCACATCAATCGCGCCATCTAATCCAGGCCTACTCTTCATTCAAGCAATTCTTGCCATCGCATACACATCCTCCTCTCCTCCGTTCCCACCTCCCCAGTAAGGCAAGCCAGGTTTTGCTCCCTATGAACACCGATTATTGCACGTCGGTTCCCTTGGATTCGAGTATAAGTGAAACACGTGTCACACTTTTTCGACGCTCAAGCCATCGTTGTTGCAGCTAGAGAAAGAAAAAGTTTTTGTATAGGGTTTGAGGGTATTTTTCCCCTCTCCAGGCTTTGGCGTTTGCAACGTGGTGCACCCCGTTCACCACCAACGGTCCACCTCGATGGAGTACAAAGTGTACGTTGCACTGATCGGCGGTGCTGCTTGACTCGCGGGTCGTGGGGCTGCCACTGGATGCCCGCGGGGTGTGAGACAGGTGCATGGGATGGAAGGCGGGGCAGTGCGTGTGAAGACATGGGCATCTTAAGGGGCTGCCGGTGTGGGGTCGTTTGAAATGCCACTGGGCATGGGTTTAAGTTGAAACAGCGCGCTGACCTCCTGTGTGCACCTGGCGTGGCATCCTCGACAGGTTTGTGGGGAACATCCCGTTCGCAGCTGACGAAGATGAGCTGAGATCGGTATTTCCCTCACAAGACGTACGTATCTACGCTGTCCCAGCATTTTATTCCATCTCGAAAAATCTCCTCTACCGATGCATTTGCAGCAACCCAACTGTCGTGCTTGTCTCACCGGTGCTCGCGGTGTGCTACACCAGATTGTCCATGCCGAGATTATCCGGGAGGATAACGGCAAGTCCCGCGGTGCGGGCTACCTAGTCTTTGGCAATGAGGAGGATTACCAAGCTGCCTTGGCGCAGGGTGTAGCCGATCTACACGGCCGCCAACTGCGCATCACCATGGCCAACAGCCGCCGTGGCCGCACGGGTGAGCCAACCAACCTGATTCGCTTCGCCGAACAGGGGGACAACACACACAATACTTGGTCCTGCGCATGGCGGCAAACCTACATATCTTTTGTCCTTCTCACCCTCACTACTTGATTCGCGATGTTAGATAACGGTCGCGGGCCTGGCGGTCGACGTGACGGGCCTGGCCAAGGCTATCGACCCATGTCCGTAGCCGATGCAGACCAATCTGTACCGCAATGGTGGGAGCAGTTTGGTACCCACCCCACCTTCGCCCCGAATGTCAACGCCAATGGCGTTCCAATTGTCAGACCCATCATCAAACTGCATGTCCCCCACGGCGCCACCAACGTGAAACTCTACAAGTGCTCAGAACGAATGCTTCAAGATCTAGAGCAGTGCCTTCCGCCCGAGGTGAGATTCTTTGTCGCAATGGAGAGCTGACTTGGCGGATGGCAGGCTGACAGCTCGATTCAGGGACAGCAGACTTTTATGCCTACTTTCCTTCCCTTTGCAGTGTCACGCTCCGACTCATCGTCTTTGTTAATCGTATTCGTCCTCGTCGCAGACGCAAGCAGATCTGCGCCGCGGCTATGGTGCCTGTGTCGCTGGCCTGCACCAGGATGTTTTGAACATGCCCATTAACTTCTCCCCTACCTCGGATCGCTCCCTGGAGGATGACATGGCCGAGCCTCTTTCTGCCGCGCAGGACGAAGGCGCTCCCTCGGCGCTTGACATCTCCTTTGGTCTTCCAGTTGTCATTGTAAACCGTGCTTTCCAAAATCAGGTTTGTTCTCCCATCAGATTGAACTTGGCTCCCTCGTTATTTCCGTTCTTTCGGTGTGATTGGTGGACCCCAGCGGTGGCAATAGATCGTGTGATGCTTTTGCGTTGAACAATGATCTTTTGAACGTTGGGCAGATGGAGCAGCCGACGTGTCCCTTGAATTCGGGATGCGGCGGCTGCGAGATGAATTCCCGTATAGTTGTGCCTTCATTTTCTTCCGGTGCATGATTTCTTCCGTGTTCATCTCAAATTCTTCTTCCGATTCACGTGGCTGGCGACTCACGTCCTTGTCCTCGTATGCCTCAGGTCATCTCGCTTCGCGATTTTGAAAAAATGATTGAACAGTTCTTTGTCCGGGTTCTTTTTGTCGAGCGCATCGACATGACAGCGGAACGCAAGGACGTGGCTCGCGCCTTGACCAGCAGTCAAGGCTGGGATATGTTACGCAATCAGGTCGATGTGGAGGCACACTTCATGGACAAAAAAATTGCGCTCTTCAACGTGGACTCGAATGGAGAGTTGCAATCTGACACATCAGCAGCAGAGAACGCGGTATGTTGCTGCTTCTGACGCTCACCACGGCTTTGATTGCTGTCACCCTGACTTTGCGCCCTCCTCTATGCCGTTGCATTCTTCATAGGCATCCATGGCGCCCAACATGTTTCTGGTGGATAACGAGCTGGAAGCTCGGTTGTCCTTCTGTGAACTTGACACGGAAACGGGCCGTCTTAATGTGCCAGACACGAACAATAGTGATCTGCGTGTCACGCAGCATCGCAGCTTGTCCTCGCAACGCAACATCAAGCATGAAATTCTGAAGCATCGCAACTCTTGGCTTGCCGACGTTATGACTGTCGGTGAATACGGTGTGTAGCCCACATGAGCAACCTGCTTGCATATTGTCTGAGCTGCCTGCGCTTTTTCCTGCACCCCGGTGGTGGCATAAGACCTGTGATCCACATGAGCAACCGTCTTTTGAACACCGGGCAGATCAAACAACGAGATGATTTCCCGTATAGTTATGCCTTATCTTCTTCAGGTGCATGATTTCTTCCGTATTCGTCTCAAATTTTTTTTTTTGTGCTACACCCGCCGCAGACCATGTCAGTCGCTATGGCTCCAGCGCACGTCAGCATCTAGAGCTGCATGTATCCCGTCACCACTTGTTTCAGCATCAGGTTTGTCTGTGGGTTTGGCTCGACTCTTTTTGGTGTACCTTGGCTTCATTCTCACCTGATCTCATGCGGACGACATAGAAGGACCAGGATCAACCCAACTTGGTCGAATACGTTACCTACAAGTCGCTGATGTTCTGTCCTAGCCGCAGTCTCAGTGCCATGATTACGCTCGCCGAAGTGCCTCCTGCGGAGGACGGCGGATTTCCTCATGGTGCGCGTTGCTTTTTTTTTTTCTTTCCGCAGCACTTTGTTCGGCTTTCTCTCACCGCGATGTCTCGCCCCCCCCCCTCTCTCTCTCTCTCTCTTTCTGGCCTCATCGAGCAGAGGAATCAGTTGATACGGCCATCAACGTGGCCATGGAGGGCGTTCGATTGGCTCGCGCTGTTTTGGTAGAGCTACCCACATTTCAGGAGGATCGCTTCGAATGAACAAAGTCAAACACCGTGACATGCCAGGATTAAATCAACATGCCATGTACGCTTTTAATTGATGAGAAGACCCTATCGATCAAATTTCGTCATTTGCATTCCAGCATTCCAATGCCCCCCATCTCTCTCAACATGCTCCGGCGGAACAGCAAGTCGCTTCTTCGGTCACCCTTTATTTCAGTCAGAATGAGCAAGAAAAAAAAAAAAAGAAAAAAAAAAACAGAATCAAGGGCGCGCGAGATAATCTCGCGCGCCCCACACAAACGCACACACACGAAAATAGCAAGAACTGGTTGTGCAGAAGATCCGGAGAACCTAGATGGTTGACGCGGCGGCCTCAGTCGCATCTGACGTGTCGAGCCGGTCCATTTCATCCAGTTGCTGCTCCAAGAGCTGATTGACTCGCTGAACGTGTTCTAAATCCAAGCGCAGCAGGGCCACCATTTTGGCCAGGCTTGTGGCATCGGCCGGTGTGGTGGCATCCGCAGAAGTGGTAACTTGATGCTTGCGCAGAGCATCGAGCTGCCGCTGCTGTGAGTCCAGCTTTGGTCCGCAAATAAAAATCAAACCCCACACCCACGCATGAGAATGTAACGCGAATGTCGACAGCAATACCATCCTGGCCTCTCACAGCGGCATGAATGTACCTTGCCGCGCCAGCGCATGCGCTCGAGCTCGAGACGCCGGTTCTTCTCCGTGGCCTGTAGCTTCAACCGTTGCTCAGCCAACTCGGCTCGACCAGTCAAGCGTTGCAAGCGCATTTGCAACTCGGAAATGGATGAGGCACCCAAGTTCTACACACCATACACGCCCAGTGAGGGTTGCTGCCTGCGCTACTCATTTGACGGCGTCTTTCGACACGTCGAACCCCTATTTGACCACCAACAACAACAACAAAAGCAACAGACGCTACATACACGAAGCTGACGCTGCATTTCAGCCAATTGCTGCGAAGCCACTGAATCCCCACTGCGCATTGACTCTGAGATGCTGGCTCGCCGAGATTTGCGCTCCGTGGAAAACTTTTCTTGCTCCAGCTGTGTGTTGGTTCTTCGCAAAGCTTCGAGCTCGGTTCGCAGTTTGCGTAGTTCTTCGGCCTGCTCAGCCATACCACCCCCACCCCGCCGAGTCTCGTGAGGCAGCTTGGAGTGTGGCGCACACAACGTGCCAAGGCAAGGGTCCTCTGCCGCGCAGAAAAGCCTTACCTGTGCCGATGCCAAGGCTTGGTTGGTGGTAGAACCCGAAGTCTGTGCATTTGAGATGCAGTGCAAAATCAGGGTGGCGCACCTCAACACCTCAACAAAGCCGGGGCAAGCAAAGGTGGGTCAAGGCCCCGGGACAGTCAGACGTACAACGCGAAGCGATTTCGCCAGGTCAAGATCATGTTGTAGTCGAGTCACCTGCCGCAATAAATCGTCCTTCTCCGCAACCAAGACATTCATTTTGGCACGTTGCTCGCCAAGTTGGCGATGCAGTTGACTGTGCATACTCGATTCCTATATAGATGACACACCCGAGTGAGAAGCCAAAAAAGCCCGGGTTGTTTGAAAGGCAAGCTCGCTCGCTGGCTCTTGCGCCTGGCGGAAGCGTAGCTGACCAGCTGTGAATCCTTCGAGCCGGCGTTGAGTCGTGCCACCTCAGCCTCACGCTCACTCAGACGGCGCTGCAGCGCTGAAAGCTCGCGCGCTTGCGTTGCCTACAGACGACAGAAATACAGACGCTTGAGCTTGGCGACGCACAGCAAGCGTACATGCTTCAGCTTTCCAGTGCTGAATTTTAACCTTGTCTCGGACACACCTGGGTTTGTGTCAACAGACGCTTCTGACTTTCGAGCTCTTGACGCAAGCGTGTCAACTCGACCCCGCTTCCGTAGCCCGATGAGGTTAATGGCGACGCTTGTGGAAATGTTGCAGGTGTACGCTCCATATGTTGTTGGAGCTCACGTTGCTTATCGTTAAGCTTGCGTTCAAGCATCGCCACCTCTTGTGCCCGTGCGTCGTCGGCTTGACGATGCTGGCGCTGCTGCCCCTCAAGGTCTGCTCGGACTTGCGTGAGCTGGCGGGTCAATTGCTGGTTTTCCTGCTCCAGCCGCAATCGCGTCTCCTTGGCCTCATTCTACGAAATTAGGCAATCGTGTACAAACCCCGACGGTCAAAGGAGCCAAGCACATAATCCAGATGCATGAGCCCAAAGCTGCTGCTGCTGGCGTCGAAACTCGCACTCGGCAGCTCATCACAGAGCAAGCTGTGTGAGCCAACGTCAAACATGCTCTTCTTACCAGGGCTGCTTGCAAGGCTCCTTGAGAACTGGCATCACCCCGATCAATGGACCGCGTGTACTGAGCATGCTGTAGATCAATCTCCAAGCGGTTGGCGCGCCGCTGCTCTGCAGCAAGCGCTTCCTCAGCCCTAAAGAGGCGGGTCCGCAAGCTATCAAGATCATGCTCTGCGTCTTGCGTGGAGTTGGTGGAACTACTCAGCAGTTTTTGGTTGGCTTCCGTGAGCTCCTGCATCTGTGCCTCTCGCGCGTCCAGCTTGCTCTGCAAGTCAGCAGTCTGTGCCAAGCTGCGCTCATGGCGCATGTTCTGGGCTCGCAAATCCTCTATTTGCCTGGTTTTCTCAAATTAACACAAAAACCAGAATGAAGAAAGAGAAAAGGCTAGAAAGATGCCGTGCAATTGCTGGGCAAGGAAGCGGAGCGCGACAAACCGGCGATATGCCTCCACTTGAAGATCAGACTGCTTGAGGCGCGCTTGAGCTTCTTTGAGTTCAGCTGACGCTGTGCGGTAGTTTTCCTTTGTCCCGAGATGAAAGACCAGTTGGTGAGTCAAATTGAGCTTGAGCTCAAGAACAGCAGAAGGGAAGCGAGGGGTGGCTTGACTCTTGTGCCTACCTCAATTTGATCTGCTTGTGACTGTGTAGCCTTCATCTCCTCTGCAAATGACTGTTGCAGCGCACTCATATCTTGCCGGACCTTGAGCAGCTCACCATCGCGTGCCTCCACAAGATCATTGAGCCGACTAGCCTGCCTCGTGATTGCCCATCATGCGCCCCAATACGTGTGAGTCATCCCCGGCGGCTTGAATCGAAGGCGACAAAGAAATGATGAAACCAGACAAGCACACACACACACACACACACACACACACACACACACACACACACACACACACACACACACACACACACACACACACACACACACACACACACACACACACACACACACACACACACACACACACACACACACACACACACACACACACACAT